ATTTTAGGATAGATTTCCCTGTTTTCTGGGAAAAAAAAAAACCTCCCAGAAACAATAGAGGGCAAAAAAATGCCTTTAGGATTTTGATGGGGATTATATTACATCTGTAGATTGCTTTGGGTTTTATTGACAACGATATTCAGTCTTTCGATCTCTGAACACGCTTGCCTTTCCATTTATTTGCCTCTTTACAAAGTTCTCTCAACAGGTCTACTAGAGCTTTCAACACCCGGGTCTTTCACCACCTTGGTTAAGTTTATTCCTAAGCATTTTATTCTTTTTGACGCTATTGTAAATGGAACATTGATATTCTTTTTTGGATTGTTCCTTGTCAGTGTTTAGAAATATGGCTTATTGGGTGCCTGGGTGGCTCACATGGTTAAGTGTCTGCGTTCAGCTCAGGTCATGATCCCAGGGTCCTGGGATCAAGCCCCACGTCTGGCTCCTGGCTCAGCTGGGAGCCTGCTTCTGCCTCTGCCCTGCTCATGCTCTCTCTCTCTCTGTATCTCTGTCTCAAATGAATAAATAAAATCTTAAAAAAAAATAAAAAATAAAAAAATAGAAATACAGCTTATTTTCACATGTTGATTTTGTATCCTGCAACTTAGCTAAATGTATTTACGACCGCCAACAGTCTTTTTGTGGAGTTTTTGGGGTTTTCTGTGCATAAGATCATGTTGTCTGCCAACGGAGATCATTTTACTTCTTTCTCTCTGATTTGCATACCTTTGGTTTCTTTTTCTTGCCCTAATTCATCTGGCTAGAACTCCCAGTGCTATGTGAAATACAAGAGGCGGGAGCAGGCATCTTTGTCTTTCTTGTTCTTGACTTTGCAGGGAAAGCTTTCAGCCTCCCACCATTGCATGGGACGGTAGCTCTATTATGTTGAGGTAGTTTCTGGCTATTCTTAGTTTAGTGAGTGTTTTCTGAGGAAAGGGTGTTGAATTGTGTCAGATTCTTTTTCTGCATCAACCGATGTTGCTCTTGTATTTTTTTCTCTTTGTTATGTTAATGTGGTATAGTACATCTGTTGGCTTTTGTGTCTTGAACCATCCCTGCATTTTGGCAGTAAATCCTCCCTTGGTCATGGTGTGCTGACCTTTCTAGATACCACCAAATTCTGTTTGCTAGTATTTTGTTGTGGATTTTTGACATCAATATTCATGCGAGACATCAGTCTGTAGTTTTTGCCTGGCTTTGGTTTCAAGGTAATGTTGGCCTCATACAATGAAAGTATTCCCTCATTTTCTTTTTTTTTTTTTTAAAGATTTTATTTATTTATTTGACAGAGAGAGACATAGCGAGAGCAGGAACACAAGCAGGGGGAGTGGGAGAGGGAGAAGCAGGCTTCCCGCGGAGCAGGGAGCCCGATGTGGGACTCAATCCCAGGACCCTGGGATCATGACCTGAGCCGAAGGCAGACGCTTAACGACTGAGCCACCCAGGCGCCCAGTATTCCCTCATTTTCAATGTTTTGTTTTTGTTTTTGGAAGAGTTTCAGGAGGATTGGTGTTAATTCAGATTTAGTTATTTGAGTCTTCTCTCTTTTTTTCTTAGTTAATCTGGCTTAAAGGTTTGTCAGTTCTGCTGATCTTTTGGGAGAATCCACTCTCGATTTTGTTAAAATTTCCCATTGTATTTCTGCTTTCTATTTTGTTATCTCTGCTCCTTTTGCTAGCTTTGGGGTTAGTTTGTTCTTCTTTTATAGTTCCTCAAGGTATAACGATAGATTGTTGATTTCAGATCTTTCCCAGTCTTTTAACATAAGTACTTCTGGCTATAAATTTCCCTCCTATTGCTGCTTTCTTTGCATCTGATGGATTTTGGTATGTTGCGTGTTCATATCCATTTGTCTCAGGGTATTTGCAAATTTCTCTTGTGAATTCTTCTTTGACCCCTTGGTTGTTTAAGAGTGTGTGGCTTAATTTCCGCTCACAGGGTTGGTTTCTAGTTTCACGCCATTGTGATCAGAAAAGATACCTAGTATGATTTCAGTCTTTGAAGATTTGTTAAGACTTGTTTTGTGCCCTATCTGTAATATGCCATATCCTGTATGTGCACTTGAGAAAAATGTGTTTTCTGCTCTTGTTGGGTCGAGGGTACTGTATGTCTTTTAGGTCCACTTAGTCTATAATGTTGTTCAGGTTTTCCATTTCCTTATTGATCTTCTGTCTGGTTCTGTTGACTTACCTTTTAATAAGATCCTTCTGGTCGTGTTAAGACGAGGCTGGGAGACAAGCAAGAGTTTACAGTGTGAATCCAGGAGGGACGTGACTTGGAGCAAGGGCACTTGGACCGGAGAGGTACTGATGGAGAGGATGAGAAATGGTCAGGCTCTGGGTTGGCAGAGCCAACAGATTTTATTGACTCTGGGAGTTGGTACTGGGTAAAGGAATTTGCCTGAGGTCCTACAGCTAAGTAGGTGGTTGGGCCGGGATTTGAATCCAGGCCTCTCTGGCCCCCAATTCTTAGCTCTTAATGAACCATTGCACTTCTCCAAAAGCGCTCCTGACCCAGCTGCCTGGACCCCTCCCCCCCTTCTATTCCCAAGGGACGTCTGGGTCTGGGTGCTTGGCAAGCCCCCCCCGGCAGGTTCTCAGACACTGGGTTGTAGGCCTGCATCACTGTATCCTGCCTCAGGAGAGCGAAGGAAAGAAGGAGGCAGGTACCTGGGGGGGCGGGGGGTGGGTAAATGTTCTGAGACCCTGTGGGCTTAATGGCATGTTGCAGAGGAACTCAGCCCCTGGAATCAGACAAACCTAGGTCTGTCTAAGCCTTGACTCTCCTCACCAGCTGTGTGACCCCGGGCCGATGACCCCACCTCTCTGTGCTTTTGTTTGCGCCTTTGACAAACAGGGATGTGAATGCTGCTGCCTCTCTATTTACCCACAAATATGGTGGTGACAGGAAAGCGTTTTTTTCAGCTAAAATAGTCTCCCAACGCAGAAGCCAGATCTTTCAAGCCACTTGTCCCTCTAACCGAATGTTACTGAGCACTTGTGAGGTACACGAGCCACAGCGATCACGCCGAGTGCTCTCCCTCAGGAGGTCCACAGCCTGGTGGGGAGGATGAAATCTGTATCAGTCTGATGGGTGTTAGTAAAGCAGCCGCCCTGGGAGCCCTGAAAGCAGGGGAATTTATTCTTCTGAGCCAGCAGTATTTCAGTCGGGACCAGAATAACAGTAAGAAGAGGCCAGGTGAGTGTTGCGGCAGGGTGACGCATGCGAACCGCTGACACTTAGTGCAGGCACCCTCTGCGTGGGGCTCGGTGCTCAGCACACGGTGTGCGTGACCTTGTTCAGTCTTCCCATAGCCCCTGGAAGCAGGTGCTATTCCTCTATGCCCTTTACCCAATGAGAAAACTAAGGTTGAGAGAGGTGATGTGATTCGCCTGAGGGAACACAGCTAGAAGCTTAAAGGGGCCACAGGCTACGGCAGCTGGTGCTGAGAGCCAAGAAACCGGTCTAGGTCCAAAGTCCACCGGTAGCTGCTTCCTAGCCGTGTGGCCTTGAGTAGGCCAGTTTGCCTCCCTGAGCCTCAGTTTCCACACCCGTGAATAGGACCAGTTCCACGGCTTTGGCTGGAGAGCTTTCAGACTGAGAAATGCAGCCGGCCAAGCCCAGCTTGGGGGTTGTTCACGGGGAGAGTGCTGACTTGGTCGTGTGGGGTGGGCACCCCATGTGTTGCCCACAGAGTGGGACCTGGGGTGCTCTGAGTTCTGTCTTCCCCTCCAGGAGGCAAGCAGAAGGAAGGGAGAGAGGGGCCTGGAGAGCCTGAGATCACTCTCCGATGGGGGCATTGCTGAGCTGGCCCGGCCGAGGCCGACGCTGAGTGGGCCACGGGGCAGCCAGGAAGCCCACGGAGGGGGTTGGATTCAGAACTGCTCCTGTCACCCCCACATCACAGCCCTGGTGATGTGGAGCTGGGACCAGCATTGGAGGTCATCTCTTCTGACGTCCTCAACCTCAAAGTGGGGAAACCGAGGCCCTAGAAGAGAAATGCTTTGCTAAAGCTCCATAATGACTCTGGGCAGAGTGGGGCCCAGAATCCAGCAAAGCAGAAGGGTATTCAGACCACCAGAGGGTCCCCTCTGTGAGCAGAGAGGCACGGCTGCCCTTTCAGCGCTGGGTCCCCCTTGCTGGGCGCATCAGTGGTGCTCAGAAAATATTTGTTGAGCATGTGAGGCTGGTAGGAAAAGCACACAGCTGGGGATCCAGACTCAGCCTGGAATTCTGTCTCCACTCTCGGCCAGCTCTACTTCTCTAGGCAAGTTGTTTCAGCTCGATGAGCCTCGGTTTCCCAAAACGAGATCACAAACCCAACTGGTAGGTGACTGAACAGGGATTTGAACCCAGGTCCACTAGGTTCCAGGGTCGATCTGTCAACTGTACCTTTCTGATTCTTTTATTTACTTGTTTCCTTCCTTCCTTCCTTCCTTCCTTCCTTCCTTCCTTCCTTCCTTCCTTCCTTCTTTCCTTTCTTCTTTCTTTCCAAAAATAGTTACTGAGCAACAGCTATGCACCAGGCACTGTTCTAGTCTCCGTGGATATAGAAGTGAACAAGGCAGATGAGACCCTGCCCCCAGGGAATTTATATCCTAGAGCAGGGAGACAGTAAGAAATACAGAGGACAGGGAGAGCGTAAGTAGCCAGAAGGAGCTGTAGCAAGGTGTGGTTGAGTCTTGTGGGGAGGTAGGGCTTTCTCAGATAATGGGGTCCAGGAAGGAGATGACATTTCGTGGGACACCTGAAAAGAAACTGCCCCCATGGAGAGTACCCAAAAAAATAATTCCATAAAATGTGAAGTGTGGAGCTCTGATGGGCTGCAGGCCTGAGGCTTACAGAAGACACGGTGAGGAGGCGTGGAAGGAAAGCAGTTAACCAAACACCCCAGCCGGCCTGAGAAGGCTCGGAGGGGCCGACACAGCCCTCTGGGGTGGCCTCACCCTGGGGCGCATTTGGGGCTCCTTGCCCCCTCTCCAGCTGCCTCTGCCTTCCAGGTGAAGCAGATCATGGAGGAGGCCGTCACACGCAAGTTTGTCCATGAAGATAGCAGCCACATCATCTCCTTCTGTGGTGAGTCCGTGGCCTGTGGGCCTTGAGTGTGGCTTCTTTCTCAGTGGGCTGCCTCGGGGGAGCGGCATCTTGGCAAGCGAGCCTTCTCACGCCGCTTTTTTGCTTTGTGACTCCAAGGTTATTTTCGGATTCCCAAGGAGCTCCGTTAGGGAATTTGGAAATACGGAAAAGTCTAGAGAAGAAATGAGGCCTGGCCTCTGCACCCCATGAGGAGTTCATCACTGCTGACGCTGGAGGGATTGACTGCCTTCCCCTCCTGTGGGCTCGGTGCACGGCGACCCACACCCCTAGTGATGCTGGTCTCGTCTCTGACGAACGGGCTCCGCACCCCTTCCTCGCCCTGCCTACAGCTGTTGCCTAAATAAATAAATAAAGGGAGAGGATGAATGGGCTTTAAAAATATAGGGAATTAGGAGCCATCGACCCCTCCTGCGGGATCATGTCCAGCTTGGCTCAGCAAAGGAGGCGGGCCCCGGGGATCGGAGCATGACTTAGACTTCTCTCCTCAAACCAGCTGTGCTCACAAAGTTTCCAGAAATAACCACGCTGCCAGGTTCTTACCGTATTTCTTTCTTTTTTTTTTCTTTTTAAGATTTTATTTATTTATTTGACAGAGAGAGAGCACAAGTAGGCAGAGCAGCAGGCAGAGGGAGAGGGAGAAGAGACTCCCCACTGAGCAGGGAGCCTGACACGTGGGGCTCGATCCCAGGACCCTGGGATCATGACCTGAGCCGAAGGCAGTCGCTTAACCGACTGAGCCACCCAGGCGCCCCTCTTATCGTATTTCCACCATGGCTATAGACGCAGGTTTTGCGTGTCCCCAGAGTCAGGATTCAGCTTCTAATCAGCGTGTATGTATAAGTGGGGGTGTTTCTTTCTCCCTGAAAACCTTTTTTATTTCGTGACTGGGGTGTCTTGGGAGGAAGGACGTGCTGTAATTTCTCCTCCCACAGTCTTGGCCTCCTGGAGAGGCCTGAGCAAGGACACCTGGCCAGCCCTTCAGCTTCATCCCGATGGCTGGGTGCACCACCCATGGGAGCGCACGCCGAGACCTGGGAGCCTCATGATGTCAGCTCAGCCCCTTTGCAGCCAGGCAGACCTGGGTTCAAGTCCCTTTTCTGCCACTTGTTTGTTGGGTGACCTTGGCAAAATTTTATTTTTTTAGTGAGATATGTTTGTTTAAATTACACATATATGTATATTTATATACTTCTGTGTATGTAAGGGTGCATATATACACACTTACATGTATATGTGTATATATACGTGTATATATATAAATGTGAATATGGGAATTTATTTACCTCTTTTTTTTTCTCTTGGACATCTCTCTTTGCAAAGAAAATAACAGGCATGCCCATATCAGAATGTGCGACCATACCTACCCGTTAAAGACTTAGAGGGATAGAAAGTGATAAAAATCATGATAATCGTCTAACTTCAACCACAGTTTTGGGATGAGAGAAGAAATGTGATGGCTCTGAATAAGGCCTGCAGGGTCTCCCTGAGGTGTCTCCAATCCATTGTTCCTTATGAGCTGTTGCCGGAAAGAATCAACCAAGTCTCCAATGCCTAGATAATTAACTTGTTGCAGTATAGACAAATGAAAAGTGTTGTGCATGTAAGCAAAAATGAAGGTGTTTAGGAGATGCTTACCCAGCATATTTTAAGCCCATGGGCAAATTAGGCAATAGAGTGGACATTCATTCAAAGCCAAGTAATCGCTGGGGCACCTGTCTGGCTCAGTCGGTAGAGCACACGACTCCTGATCTCGGGGTTGGGCATGGAGCCTACTTAAAAAAAAATTGTAATGGGGGTGCCTGGCTTCGGCTTGGGTCATGATCCCAGGGTCCTGGGATCAAGTCCTGCTTTGAGCTCCCTGTTTGGTGGGAAGCCTGCTTCTCCCTCTCCCGCTCCCTCTGCTTGTGTTCCCTCTCTCGCAGTCTCTCTCTCTCTGTCAAATAAATAAATAAAATCTAAAAAAAAAAAATTGTAATAAAAAAAAAGGCTAAGTAATTGCTAACAACAACAACGACAACAAAAATACCCCCAAACAAGTAATTGAACCAAAACTTCTCAGTATTTCTCCTTGTGCACAACATGACCCCGGCCAGGCTCTTCACCGTTTGGCATTTTCCTTGTGTGGAGGGACGGCAACTAGAACACTCACTTCATGGAGAAATCCCAGTTTTTCCACTGGGATTAGGTAAAGTAAACCTCAACACTGGCCCGACACCAGGCAGATACCCAGTAAGAAGTAGCTCTTACAATAGACTCACTTTTCCCATCGACATTGATTATGCTCCTATTACATACCAGAGTGAGCTCCCAGTCTGCTGTGTAAGACAGAAGGCAGGAAAATAGTTCATAGAGGCCTGCTGAAAGTACCAGAAATAGGATTGGGGCCATCAGAATGGCCTACACAGGGACTGTTTCCCAGGAGGGAACACTAAGGCCCAGAGAGGGAAAGCGATTTACCTGAGGTCACACAGCAGGTTAGTGGTAGAGCCCAGGCTACCACCCAGGGGAAACACAGATACTGGAAGATGAGGACTGAGTCCTCTCTTCATATTCTTCATGGAGGCACAGTGTTGTGAGCACACTTTGGGCCCAGGCCTGGGTTTGAATCCTGGTTCCGTCACCTATTTGCCGGGTGGCCCTGGGCAATTCAGTTCACCTCTTAGAGCCTCAGTTTTCACATCTGAAAAATGGGGGTGGTTTTTTCTTTTTCTTCCTTGGCTGTGGCAGAGATAGAATGAGATCCGTAATGTCAGCTCTTACCGGGATCACAGTAATGACGTTGATGTGATTCTTTTTTTTTTTTTTTTTTTTTTTTTTATTCATGAGAGACAGAGGGAGAGAGAGAGAGAAGCAGAGGGAGAAGCAGGCTCCCAAGGAGCAGGGAGCCCTATGCGGGGCTCGATCCCAGGACCCCGAGATCACGATCTGAGCTGAAGGCAGATGCTTAACCGACTGAGCCACCCAGGTGCCCCTTTCCATCTCATACTAACAGCAACCTTTTTTTTTAATAAGATTTTTTATTTTATTTATTTGAGATGGAGAGAGAGAGAGAGCGCACAAGAGGGGGTGGGGTCAGAGGGAGAAGCAGACTCCCTGCTGAGCAGGGAGCTCGATGCGGGACTCCGGGATCGTGACCCGAGCTGAAGGTCGGGTTGCTTAACCAACTGAGCCACCCAGGCGCCCTAACAGCAACCCTTTAAGACACAGGTTCATACTATCCCTATTTCACAGATGAGGAAACTGAGACACAGGAGGGGAAGTAGTTGCCCAAGGTCACACAACTGGTTGTGTGGTTCAGATCCACTGGAGAGGACATGAACAAGGACAGCCTGACCTTGGGCAGCGAGCACAGGTTAACTGCTAGGCTCTCTTGCTCCCTTTTGAGGGAGCGTAAGGTAAGGAGGCATATGTGCTTTTCCCTATGAGGCTTTCACAAATTTTGTGATTCTGGGGCCTGCAGTTCTCTGTATGACTGGAGTGCTGAGCTGGGTGCAGGGGAGCGTGGGCAGAGCAGGGCCTGCTGACCGATGGTTGTGTCCCTGCAGCGGCTGTGGAGGCCTGTGTCCTGCATGGGTTGCGGCGGCGGGCGGCTGGCTTTCTGCGTAGCAACAAGATTGCAGCTCTGTTCATGAAAGTGGGCAAGAACTTCCCGCCGGCTGAGGAGCTGAGCCGCAAGGTGCAGGACCTGGAGCAGCTGATCGAGAACGCGTGAGTGCGGAACATGGGGTATGGGCAGGGCACGCCTGCGGAGGACAGTCCATGCTCCTCACTGAGCTGTGCGACAGCCTGCACCTCCTGGCACTCTCTCCAGTCTCCTTTCTGCTGCACAAACCCACCAGACTCTTTCCTACCCTGGGGCCTTTGCACATGCTGTACCCACCACACTCGGTTCACATACCTCATCTTCCGTGGCTAGTTCCTTGTCATCATTCAGGCCTTCCCTCAGTTAAGGATAAATCCCAGCCCTCACCCCATTTGTCTTTTTTTTTTTTTTTTAAAGATTTTATTTATTTATTTGAGAGAGAAAGAATGAGACAGAGAGAGAATGAGAGGGGGGAGGGCCAGAGGGAGAAGCAGACTCCCCGCTGAGCAGGGAGCCCGACGCGGGACTCGATCCCGGGACTCCAGGATCATGACCTGAGCCGAAGGCAGTCGCTTAACCAACTGAGCCACCCAGGCGCCCCACTCCATTTGTCTTTTAGATCGTCCCTCTATTTACTTCCCTCTGGTTATCACCACCTGTATTTACTCGTTCATTTGTTTACTTGATTCTTGTCTCTCTCCCCCACTTGACTCTGAACTCCATGAGAACAGACAACTAAAATCTGTTATTCCCCATTATGTCCCCTGTGCCTGGACAGTGTCCGGCAGCTGGTAAAAGCTTAAGAAATGATTGTTGAATGAATAAGCGCCCCTTGGGAGCCAGACCCCATTCTGAATGCAGGAAGACAAAAGTTTAATGAAACCAATATGGTCACTGTCTGCATGGATCGGGTGTGACATTGAGGCAACCATTGAAGGGGAGCAGTGACTTCACTCACATGTCTTAAGGGCTGATTGTGTTTACTGGGGGGAGGCTCAGGGCCTGAGTGTGTGTACATGAGCGCCTTCCACCAGGGTCACCCCCAGAGTCCCGACTGTACAGCCAAAGCCTCCATCTGGGGCCTGGTCAGGGATGACACATAGGTTTCAGCTCCAGTTCGTGCTAGACGCTGCCCCAAAGGACCTTGTTGTAAAAGATTCTGGAGCTGCTGTTAGGTTTTGTGGGAAAGAATGTGTGGATTGATTAGCCATGTCTGTTCTGGGCAAGAGAGTAGAGAGAGGCACGCGTGCCGTGTTTGCCTTCTCTGCCATGGGTGATCACTTCACTTCACTGGATGGGAAATGGCCCTTGCCTTGCCTTTCAGGCCATGCCAGCCCAGAGCCCCTGGCCAGAACTGCATGATGGGCCAGCCTGTGGCTTTGGCATTGCCAAGTCCCATTTGGAATCTGACTCCTCGGCCACATGGTCTTCAGGTGCCTTCCAATCCACCTGTTAAATTCCCAGGTGTTTGCTGATAACTTCTTAAAGGGATGGATTTCCCTGGGCCTTCCATAATATTGTGAGTGACTTTCTAATGGAGGAATTAGAGATACTCATGCCGGGTGGTAAGGGAGAACCATTCATTCATTGATGCAGTTGCTCATCCATGGCAGATAGAGGGGGGAGAGAAAGAGAGGGGAAGAGAAGAGAAATATCACTGTGAGAATCCGGCTTGCCCATCAGCAGTTTATGAAAGTGTCTGTTTCACTGCATCTTCACGTTCGCTGGGTATTATGATTTTTTCCAACTCTTTACCCATTTGCCAGGAGCAGTAAGGGCTCTTGTTGCTTTATTTTATTTTTATTTATTTTATTTTTTTTAAGATTTTATTTATTTATTCATGAGAGACAGAGAGAGGGAGAGAGAGAGAGAGAGAAGCAGAGGGAGAAGCAGGCTTCCAAGGAGCAGGGAGCCCGATGCGGGACTCGATCCCAGGACTCTGGGATCATGACCCGAGCCGAAGGCAGACGCTTAACCATCTGAGCCACCCAGGCGCCCAGGCTCTTGTTGTTTTAGTTGCCATTCCTTCATTTCCTAGACAGGTTGAACGTTTTGCTGTTTGCATATTGGTCCTGTTGGATTTCCTCTTTTGTGAATATTCATCCTCCTTTACTGGCCTTGAAGGCGAAACCAGATCCAGGGCCTCCAGGAGAATGTGCGGAAGCTGCCGAAGCTACCCAACCTGTCTCCACTCGCCATCAAGCACCTGTGGATTCGCACTGCCTTGTTTGAGAAGGTGCTGGACAAAATTGTGCATTACCTGGTGGAAAACAGCAGGTGAGCCAGAAAGACAAGACGCCTGTGTGTGCTCTGCCGCCACCTGCTGGCCCTCTTGGGAATTGCAACCTATTGCACAAAGCCTCTTTCTTTTCTCCCCCTTGATGTGCACTTGATTTGAAAGAGATTAAGTAAAGGCCTTCTGGATGTTTGCCTCTGAATTAGCCTAGTTTAGAACCTTGGGACAATTCAGGTACTTACTGTCAATACAGGATCTTCAGATTTGGAGTGGAGTGTAGGTTCTTGCAATCTTAGGCATCTTTCTTCTTCCATGAATTAAGCCTACGGTCTTCTTGCTGACTGTGGCCCTAGAGGAGTCATTTAGCTCCTCTGTCTCTGCTCTCGCTTGGTAAATGGGACAGGGATTGCTGCCATTCTGAAGAAGAAGTGAGAAGGGGAGTTTTAGTGAGTACACAGCATTTTAGAAATAATGATACCTTTTTACATTTTCTTTTCTAGCTCAGACCAACCTGGTATAAAGGTTTTATAGTATGAGCCCTCTTGGCAAGCATTTACCCATACATTCATTCATTCATCCAGTAAAATATTTAATGAGCTCCTACCATGTGCCAGGCACTAACCTAGATGTTGGGGTTACATTGGTCTCAACTGTCATGTTCAAAGCTTGGATGTTATGCTAAGAGCATGGGGGAGCCAGTGAAGAATGAAGAGACTCTTCATGGCCAGTACTCCTTTCCAACCAGAGAGAGAGAAGGAGGGAGGGAGGGAGAATAGGAGGGAAATATCTGAGAATCTCCTCATCTTTTGGTGTATGAAAGTGCCTGTTTAACCGCATCTTCACATGCAGTGGGTATTATGATTATCTTTTATTCTCCGCCTGTTTGCTAGGAAAATATGTATGAAAGCATAGAGCAAAGTGCTTCTTCTCATGAACCTCATATTGTAGCAGGGAAAACAGGTAACTAGTAACTGGGATAAGATACAATGAGTATTCCAAGCCAGGTGGGTGGTGTTTAATCTCCTCTGGGTGGTCAGGGAAAGTGTTCTGGAAGACATAAGTTTCCATTTGAAGGGCTTGTAGGCATTACCAGGAAAAGGGGTGTGGGGAAAAGAGTGTTCCCAGCAGAGGGAACAGCAGGTGCAAAGGCCGGGAGGCAGGAGAGGAACTGGAAGAAATCCAGGCCCTGGAGTCCAATTAATCTCTTCATCTTCTAGTAAATTGTGACACATCTTTGCCCTGTGCCCTAGCATGGATTCAGGGCCTCTGTAGTTATTGCCTTTGGCGTATGACCTTGTGTTTTCTGCTGAATAAGTCAGTCAAAAGGAATTAGCGATTTATTTCAGCTATAATGCCGACCTCTTTCTTCATCTAACTTATTTTTTTAGATTCACATAGAAGTTGTAACATTAGTACAGAGAGTCTCCTCTACCCTTGGTGATAACATCCTCCATAACCATAGTACAAGGATCAAAATAGGAGATTGCCATTGGTAAAATACTGTTAACTGAACAACAGAATTTATTTGGATTTCACTAGTTTTTACATACACTCAGTTTTTTTTTTCTGTATAGTTCTATGGAATTTTAACACATGTATAGTTTTGTATAACCAACACCACAGTCAGGACACAGAACTGTTCCAGAAAAACCTGTCACCCTAAGGAGCTCCCTTGGACCACCCTTGATGGTCACATCTTGCTCCCAATTCTACCTGCTATTTTTAAAGGCAGTATTCCCAAGGTTTATGATCAGGTAACTGGGCTGAATTTTGGAATGGAAACTGCGTGGCAGAGTGGAAAGTGTCTTGAAGCCTTATCTTCAGATTTGACGCCAAAACGTATAAACTTGCTGCTGAGCGTGTACAGGGCATGTCAGTTCTGCTTCAGCCAATATTCTGGTGGATCGAAGATTCCTCTGGGGTAAAATTACAATGATATTGCCACCATTTCACAAGAACTTCCTGGTGGCAAAGTCTGTGCTGTTGCTGTACAAGCAGGTCAACATTTAATCCTCCCAACAACCTGGGCAGGTGAGTTTTGTCATTCTTCCCATTTTACAGCTGAGGACCCTGAAGCTCAGGGAAGGTAGTCACCTGCCCAGGGACACACAGCGAGGGGGGGAATGGCTGAGCCTGGTGCCCACTCATTCTGTCTCCCTCCAGATGCTGTGTTCTTCACCCCCTGCTGTAGAATGGGAAGAGCCAGGCTGGTTGGATGTAACCGACATTCACCTGCTGTGTGGCCTCCAACAAGTCACTTCCCCTCTCTGAGCCTGAGACCCCTCAGGAGGGTAGAACAAGGTCTTTTCCAACTCTAGAATTCTGTTTCTAGATTGTATGAGTTGACAAAGAATTAGAAGCCACTACACAACAACTCAAACAAAGAAACAAAAAGCAAAAACAGCACAAACATTGTATTGCCCGCATCACAAGTTATTTTGAAGAGCCAGAAGCCAGGGGGCACTCTAGGCCAGCGGCATCCACATTAGTTGTCTGGGCAGGAAGTCCTATTAAGACAGCTTTCCGGGGCACACCACAGCTAAAAAGCATCTTGTTGCCTCAGTAACATTAGAAGGGCAGACAACATCCAAGCCCCTAAGCGATTTGCTATCTGAAGTGGAAGATGTGGTCGAAGTCAATAGAACCAGCCAGGAGCCACTTTGTAATCATTATTCCTGTTACTCGCATTCAGGCTGTATCGTACAGCCATGTATTAAGCAGTTACGGGCCAAGCACGGTGCTAAGTGCCTCACATCTGTTGTCTCTCTCAGAAAGCCTTCCAACAGCCCTAGGAGATCTATTTTTATTACACCCATTTTATAGATGCGGCATCTGAGGCTCAGAGAGGTGACAAGAGGGAGACCTGCTCTTAACCACCAGGTCAGAGTCCATTGTGCGCCCTCTGCCGGTCGCCATCCAAACCTGCCTGTCCTTTTCTCTTGCTAGTAAGTACTACGAGAAGGAAGCCCTCCTGATGGACCCGGTGGATGGCCCCATCCTTGCGTCTTTGTTGGGTAAGTGGTCCAGTGCTCTGAGCTTCCTCTGGGCCTCTGGGCTCCGCTCACTGGTGCATCATCTCCCTCCAGCCTCCTCCATCAAAACGTACCTGTTCCCTGTCTCTGACTCCCCGGGGTCTGGTGCTGGCCTCTCCTTAGGAGGACCGTGGGGCATACTCACCGGCTGGAGGGGAGAAGCGGTGAAATCGGTGGCCCATCAGCGGGGGGTGGGGGGGTAGATGGGAGGGTGGACTGCCCGGGGCTCTGGATTCCCAGCCCCCGTATGCCCCGCAGTGGGGCCCTGTGCCCTGGAGTACACCAAGATGAAGACTGCGGACCACTTCTGGACTGACCCCTCGGCGGATGAGCTGGTGCAGAGGCATCGCATTCACAGCTCACACCTGCGCCAGGACTCCCCCACGAAGCGTCCGGCCCTCTGTGTGAGTAGGGGTGGGCTGCAGGGCCCTGGGAGGGAGCTGGGCTGGGTTCCAGACTTGGTGTGGAGGTGGGGAATGGAGTGGGGCCCTGAGGGTCACCCCAGGCCTCACCCTCCACCCCCTCTATCACGGCCAGATCCAGAAGAGGCATTCGAGTGGCAGCATGGACGACCGACCATCCCTCTCTGCCCGTGACTACGTAGAGTCCCTGCATCAGAACTCCCGGGCCACACTGCTCTATGGCAAGAACAATGTTCTGGTTCAGCCGGTGAGAGAGGTCTTGGGCCCAGATCTTCCACGGGTGGCAGGTGGCGGGGGGGTCTGTCTTCAGGTTACAGAGGAGGAGTTTCCTCTGGCTCCAGGTTGCCCATCCATCCATTCATTCATCCACCTACGCACATACCTGTCTCTTCATTCATCTACGAGTAGTCCATCTCTCCATCCATTCATCCATGTGACAACATTTCCTTCTATTTATCCATCCATCCATCCAACTATTCATCCATCCATCTTTATATCCATCCATTTAGTCATTCACCCATCCATCCATCCATCTACCCATCTTTACATCTGTCTATCCATACATCTTTATATCCATCCATTAATTTATCCATCCATCCAACTATTCATCCATCCACCCCTCTTTACATCTGTCCATTCAGTCGTTCATCCATGCATTCATCTATCCACCTATCCACATACCTGTCTCTTCATTCATCTACTAGTAGTCCATCTCTCATCCATTCATCCATATGACATTTCCTTCTACCTACCCATCCATCCATCCATCCATCCATCCATCCATCCATCCATATATCTATCCACCCATCTTTATATCCATCCATCAACCCATCTTTACATCTGTCTGTTCGTCCATCCATCTTTATATCCAACCATTCATTTATCTATCCATCCATCTACCCACCTTTACTTCCTTCCACCCATCTATCTATCCGTTCATCCCTCCATCCCTCTACCCATCTTTACCTGTCTATCCGTCCATCCACCCACCCATCTTTACATGCATCCGCCCATCTATCCAACTATTTGTCCATTTATCTTCCAATCCATCTCTCCACTCACCTGTCCACCCAGCTGTCTATCCATCCATTCTCTCTTGTTATCACTCACTCATTCAGCAGATATTTGTACTGAACCTTCTATGAACTAGATGCTTAGGATATCAAGATAAACATCTTCATGGTTAATATTTATGGAACACTTCCTATGTGTCAGGCACCATGCTAAGTGCTTTTAACTGTACTAACTCATTTAAAGCTCACAACAACCATTTGAGGCAAAGAGTCTTATCAAAGGTGATAACACTGAGGTGTGCACAGTGGGGAGGAAGGGGCAAAGTTATGCTTTGAATTCAGGCTGCCCGCTGTGAGAGTCTGTATCATTTATCAATTACCTTCTATGCCCCAGGACTGGTCCAGGCCCCAGAGATGGGTGGTGAGCAAGGCACATGAAGCCCCTGCCCTCAAGCAATAGATCTCCCCTTTGCTCTTCCCTTCCTGAGACCACCTGGATCAGTGTGGTATTTGGGCTCGGTTAGGAGGAAACAGAGGGAGAGCTGCTGGCCACTCCAGCTCTGTGGTCACAGTTGCGATCACTGGGTGACCCTGAGCAAGTCACTTCTCCCTCTGAGCCTTAGAATCCTCATCACAGGGGGTACAAGATCCTATCTCCTCAGATCTAAGAAGCTGTGAATTTAACACGTCCTATTTTTGACCATAACCATCAGGAAGTAAAAAGTGCTATTAGGTTATATAAAATGTTTTCTCACTACTTGGAAATTTTATTTTACACTTTTTTAAAAAATTTTATTTTATTATATTAGTCACCATACAGTACATCATTAGTTTTTGATGTGGTGATCCATGATTGTATTTTACACTTTTTGAAAAAGCTCTTTGAGACTTTATCTGGATATACTTTTTTTTTTAAATCATGCATTATACTTGTAACTACACACAAAGGAACATGTAATTATTTTAAAAGATTTTATTTATTTATTTGACACAGAGAGAGAGACAGAAATAGTGACAGAGAGAGAGAGCACAAGCAGGGGGAGTGGCAGGCAGAGGGAGAGGGAAAAGCAAGCTCCTCGCTGAGCAGGGAACCCTCACGTGGGACTCGATCTTAGGACCCTGGGCTCATGACCTAAGCGGAAGGCAGATGTTTCACTGACTGAGCCACCCAGGCGCCCCAAGGGAACATGTAATTGATATTTGTTAGTTAAGATAGTCCTAAAATGGGGCACCTGGGTGGCTCAGTCGTTGAGCGTCTGCCTTCGGCTCAGGTCATGATCCCAGGGTGCTGGGATTGAGCCCCGAGTCAGGCTCCTTGCTCAGCGGGGAGCCTGCTTCTCCCTCTCCCTCTGCAGTTGCCCCTGCTTGCGTGTGCGCTCTCTCTCCCTCTGTCAAATAAATAAATAACATCTTAAAAAAAAAAAAACTAAATTGAAGTAACGGTGTCTGAACAGCTAGGCCCGAGTTTGCATGAGATTGGGCAGTGACCACGATGTCATGATCGTGAGATGCCACTCATTAGGAGACGCATCCCCATTTCAGGTCCATTAAAATGTGAAAGCCACTCATGAAATAGTGCTCCATCATGGGGCTGTGGGCATGTGTGGTTAAATGGGGACCATGCGTATGATGCCGAGCCATGCTTGGTGCACGCACTAGGTGCTCAGTAAATGTCAGCTGTCTATCTTCATGTGTTGTTTGGGTGAATTTTGTGGAGAAGTTGCCTTCTCTATGTGTGAGGCTTGACTCCCCTCCCTTACACCCCACTTGGGATAAAGCAGAGTGAGCAGGTGAGAAGTTCTGCAGGCTAGTTGGGAAGACAAAGGCTGCTGGTCAGGGAGTGTGGTGTGGGTATTGGGGAGAGGGATTCTGGAAAATTTCTGTGGATGGAATAGAGTTCAGCTGTCCTCTTTTTCTCCCTTAAGACTGGCCAAAATGATGCCAGATAAATGCCTTCTGTGAAGGAGAGGGTGGTGTTGTAGAGGGTAGAGCCCCTTCCTGATTCTAAAGAGCTGCCAACCCCGCCCTTGCAGCAGGGCCCCTGGACCTTGGTTGCGGGGGGAGGTGGAAGTATGAGAGTGAGCGGAGGCGGGCAGACAGCTTTCATAGCTGGATCTACAGAACCCGTCCTGGGGGTTGGTTACGAACTGCTTTGCTTAGCATGGCTGCCTGGAAGGCAGGGTCTTCCAAATGGCCATGGCCTTGGAGGGCGTGACCCCAACCTCTTGTTTCTGATTATGCCTCCTAAGTCAGATGGGCTGGGGTCCGTGATCCCTGTGACTCTGGCGCTTTGACCAAGCCTGCGCCCTCTCTCTGCAGAGGGATGATATGGAGGCTGTGCCAGGGTACCTGTCCCTGCACCAGACAGCTGATGTCATGACCTTGAAATGGACGCCTAACCAGCTGATGAACGGGTCGATGGGAGACCTGGACTATGAGAAGAGGTAGGGCGCTGTGTCCCTCTCCTACCCTTGACATGGGGGAAGTTTGTGCTCTGTCCTTCGTGCCCTGGCCCACTGCTCGGTCTGGTTGTTGCAGCTGCTTGGGTAGCTCATTGGGAGGATCTAGAAACCAGCTAGAAAAATCTTAAGGCATGGGAGTTAGGCAAACCCTGGTCAAAACACCCAGAGGAAGAAATCTTAACAAAGATCTGGGAAGCCTGCCAATGGCAAATATTCCCCCATCTGCAGCCTCCCTTCTCATCACTCAGTCACGAAGGGAGGCGGGACGCGTTGGTTGGTGGGCATCTGGTCCGGGGCTGCGTCTCCCTGTGATATCCTGCAATCTATAAGGCTCAGCAAAGGCTTTGGGGTCATGCTCCGAAGAAACTCAGAAACCAGGGATTCCCTGCTGCAACCCCCTTCTTCCAGCACAATTAGGGAAGGGCCCTAGAAGGAACACAAGCAGAGGGAAGGCACTGTGCTAAGTGTGGCCAGCCAGATTATTTCAGCTTGAGGAGTCCTGGCAGCTAGATACAAAATAAGGGCTCTTTTCACGGAACAGAAGCAGAACACCATTACCGTGTTCTGTTTCATGTTAGGCTTCAGTGTGAGGAACCTCAGGGCTTGATGTGATTATTGCTGTTCTCTAAGCTGAGCACTTCCTGTGCAGAGGTGGCCATCTGTCTGCAGAGACGGTCAATGGGAGGTACAGTCCATTTTACGCTGGGCCACATAACTCAGCTCCTGCCAGACTCCAGAGTTTCTGATCAAGGAGCTCTCCCCAAGGAACAGTGCGAGGCCGAGATGCTCTTGGCCTGGGACGGTTATTTCAGCCCTATTCATCTTAAACCCTAGCCCTTCCCTGACTTCCCAGCTGAATTTGGATCACACGGAGCCCTGAATCTCCTTCGTAGCACTTGTAAAATCGTGCTCACGTAATACATTGTGCCCACCTATTGCTGTTGCATTCTAGACCTCATTTCCGTGAAGGCAAGTAATCTTTAGTCCTCATGTCTTCTGTCCAGCACCTGCCAGCCATCCTGGCACGAAGCCAGTGCTCGGATAATCTCTGAAACAAAGCAGGGAAGTCAGGGGACCTGGATTCGTTCATCAGATATTAATGGAGCACCTGCAATGTGCTAGGCACTGTGCTAAATACCACGTGACTCAGCAGTTCTACTCTAGGAAGCTGTTAAAAATAGGTAAAATGAAAACGGAAGCTCAGCTCTTGCTCCTTCCCAGCTGAGTGATCTTGGACAGTGAGCTTCACCTTCCCGAGCCTCAATTTGTTCATCTGACGTAAAATGGGGATGTGGTAATGGAACCTCCGCGTAGGCATACAGGAAAGAGTCCCTTAGAAAATGCAGGTAAAGCCTTTAGGCGGGAGGCTGGAACCCGGAGGCTGTTGGTGTCAAGTTACACAGCTCCAAAGGAACTGGGGCCACAGCGCCTCTTCGTTGGTGTCTGGTGGTAGTTGGAGAGTTGCTTTGTTTATTGGGCGCCCTAGGGTATTCACCATTAACTGAATATTCTCTGAACATCTTGCAGATGTGAGCAAAACCCAGTCGCTGTCCAGTTCAGCACCTCTCGGGGAGACAGGAGAAAACAGACCATTGCCACCCTAGGTGATGGGCACGATGTAGGAGTCTGGGGAAGGACCTCCTGGCCAAGACTCGCATGCAAGGGGCTCCATAGAGGCTGCTACTCTGAAAACCCTCGTGTGCTTGGCTGCCCTCCAAGGACATTCACTCCATGGGCCCTGGCAAGGCTGACTCTGGTGCAGACCAGTGCAGGAAGGTCCCTTAGAGAGCTTCTCTTCCAACTTCCTCATGTTGCAGCTAGGGAAACTGAGACCCAGAGAGGAGAAGGGACTGATTCTGTGTAGTTGGTGGAAGTGGGATTTGAAGTCTGACCTTGAAGCGTGTGTTGGTTCGGGTCCTCTCAAGATGCAGGTGCGGACAGAGTTAGACACGCGACAGAGCTGTAACGTGAGAGGCATCTGTGCAGAGTGAAAGGGAGGAGCAGAGGAGGCGGGCAGGACCTTCAGACCACGAAGCTGGTCTGACCCCTGTGAACAGGGAGGGGAAAGAAGGAAGGGGCGGGAAGAGTCTCAGATGCTGCCGTTCTTAGAATGTTCCGCCAGATCCATTGGGAGTCCCTGGGCTAAAGTTAACCTTTATTCTGGGGTACCCCTATCCTGCGGGAATAGGCCCACACTAACACCCCCATGTGCTCAGCTCTGGCTGAGAGCAGCCCAAGGGAAACGTGGCCTTGGTGCAAACGTGTTGGTGGATCCAGGGGGCAGCCTCTGAAGCTGTTGGTCAGCTCTGCCCGCCCCCCCACAGCAAGATCTGAAGGATACCTGCTCAGTGCATTCCCCGGACCACACAAAACCCCAGTTCCTGTGAGCCCCACCTCCATGGTCATCTAAGGGGAAAAGTGATCTGTTTCAGGACAGCAGTAGGCTTTGATCTCGAAAGGGAAAACCTTAAGTATGTCAGCACAGAGATCATTTACCCAGTACTTTTTTAACGTATTAGCACTGTGTTGAGCCCTTCAAATACATGATTCCACTTAATCATCACAGCAGGACTCTGCGGTGGGTAATTATTATCACCCATTTTACAGAGAAGGAAACTGAGGCTCATAGAAGCCCTCAAGGCACACTGCTGGGACCTGTAGGATCAAAGCTGTTGAATGGCTCTTCTAACCATATGGACGCACGGTGGCCTCGCATTGGGGTCTGAGTCAAGACTCTTAGATACCAGTGACAGGGAACCAAACTCAGGTTGACTTGAGCATTGGCTCCCATGAACTGGAAAGTTCTGGGGTTGTGGCTTCAGGCATGGCTGGATCCAGGGACACAAACGATAAGGACCTGAACTCTTCCCATCTCTCGGTTCTGCTTTCCTATGGACGCCATTGCCAGGCAGCCTTATCTTTTTTTTTAAAGATTTTATTTATTTATTCATGAGAGACAGAGAGAGAGAGAGGCAGAGGGAGAAGCAGGCTCCCAAGGAGCAGGGAGCCCGATGCGGGACTTGATCCCAGGACCCCGGGATCATGACCCGAGCCGAAGGCAGACGCTTAACCATCTGAGCCACCCAGGCGCCCCCAGCCTTTTCTTGCCATGGCCCCCTCCATTTCCAGACTTCTGTCATCTTTGCCCCTACTCTGCTAGCAGAAAGGAGCATCCTTTCCCCAGTTTATTCTAACATGACTCCAACAGTTGAGCCTCATGGGTTCTGCTTGGGTTGCGGGGACATCCTTGAACCAATCACTGTGGCTAGAACAGTGGAATATGCCGGGGTCAGATGGCCATTTCTGGAATCCTGGCATAGAGGGTGGGTGGACTCAGCCTCAGCCACATGGACTGGGGGGAAGGGAGGAGTGTTCCTTAGAAAATTGGGGTGCTGGGACCAGAAGAAGGGGAGATAGATTCTGGGAAGCCTGGAATACAGATGTTAGAGACAGATGGGTCCTAGTGAGAAGGGTGCCGGAGCCCATGGGTGTGGTCTTCTGGTCTCCTGGGCCCTTTGCCACGATGAGGTGAGCAAGCATCCTGTGGACCTAACCATCCCTCCCCTTCTAGCGTCTACTGGGACTATGCCATGACCATCCGCCTAGAGGAGATTGTGTACCTGCACTGCCACCAGCAAGGTAGGGACCGTGGGGGGAGCACGGGGCTGGGGTGTTCTTCTGGCTCCCCTGCCTGGCCCCACCTCCTTATTACCTGTGCAGCCTCAAACAAGTGACTTCTCGCTGAGCCTCGGTTTCCCCATCTGTAAAATGTAATCACAACAGCACCTGCTCCTGGCGTTGTTGTGAACCTCCTGTGACGTGTGATGAGAGCTCAGCACCAAACCCATGGTGTTAGCTGCTGACACGTACTGAGCTCCTGTGATGTGCCAAGCAGGGCTCTAAACAGCTTGGCACAAAGTCACGCAGCCTGGAAGCTCCTGAGTTTGGACTTGAAATCAGGTCTTTGTCATTCCAAAGCCTATGCTCTGAAGATCTGGGATTAATGAATAGGGTTCTCCCTTAAAGCTCAGAGAAGGTACATTTAGAACAGAGAAGGCCATCCTGCTGTAGAAAGCAAGGGATCCATGCCCCACCAAGGCACAAAATATTAAGCTTATTAGTGAGACACACCTGGGTTCAGATCCAGGCCCTACTGTGCAGCCCTGGGAAAATTACATAGCCTCTCTGAGCCTTGGTTCCCTCATTTGTAAAATAGACAATAATAGATAAACCTCATAGGTCTATTTTGGGTATTCCAATAAGACACTGCCTTTAACGTGCTGTGCTTACATACAGTAAGTGTTCAACACGTGCTAGCAAGTCACATATTGCTCTGAGAAGCGATAGGTCTGAAAGCCTCCATACAAAAATAGGTCAGGTTGATTCATGGAGCGTGCCTGAGGGACATCGGATGTTTAGGGACATCATTTCCCTTTGGTGGGTGACTTCACGGAAGCCAACCATACTCTTCTGGACCACGTCCTATACTACCCGGTCAGCAACCATGGCAGGTGGGACTTAATAGGCTCAGGGGAGGTAAAAACTGCCTTTGACCTTCTGCCCAGGCCTTTCCCAGATCCTTGGAGCAGGTCTGTGGGTCTGGCTTGGCATGCCTGGGGGGATGTGTGTGCCGGGAGGGCCCCATCCCCATGCCTCATAGTGACTTCCCGCTGGGTCTTCTCTGGCTGGGTCATGGTGGCAGTGGACAGCGGCGGGACAGTGGTGCTGGTCAGCCAGGACGGGATCCAGAGGCCGCCCTTCCGCTTCCCCAAGGGAGGGCACCTCCTGCAGTTCCTCTCGTGCCTGGAAAATGGGCTGCTCCCTCATGGGCAGCTGGACCCTCCACTCTGGTCTCAGCGGGGAAAGGTGAGTGATCGCGGGGGACCCAGGGAGGCTGGAGTGGGGGTCAGCCATGGGGAGTGGTCATTTTTTTTAAGAGAGAGAGGAGCGTGCGCACACGGGGAAGGGGTGGATGAGAGGGAGAATCCCAAGCAGGCTCCACGCCTAGCGTGGAGCCCGAAACTCGGGGCTCAGTCTCCCAACCCTAAGATCATGACCTGAGCCGAAATCAAGAGTCGGATGCTTAACCGACTGAGCCACCCAGACGCCTGGGGAGTGGTCATTTCTTGCCCGTGGATCCTTATGTGGCTTTGTGAGCACATACATACCCCACTGAACCCCTCAGGCTGTGCAGATTGTGGGGACAGGTGAATCCCAAGGACTATGCAATGGGACACATTCTTTCAGGGCAAAGTATTTCCCAAACTGCGCAAGCGAAGCCCTCAGGGTTCCGCCGAGTCCACGTCTTCAGACAAGGAAGATGATGAGGCCACAGATTACGTGTTCAGGATCATCTACCCCGGCATGCAGTCTGAATTCGGTAAGCTGCCCCATCTCTGGGCCCCCTGGATCCACCGGTTAGCTGATAATGAAAATGATTCCAGGTGTCTGGGATTAGAAGACAAGTGGTCTGGACTCTGGGGCCAACGGGGCGGGGGGCGGGGGGAGGACCTGAAACCAGGAAGTTAGTATCTCGGTTCCCCCCAAATGAGAACCACGTGCTACTTGGCTTAATAAAGATGCACCTGACCAGGAGGTGGCCTGGGGTACTGGCCATGGGCTCTGGAATCCTGGTCCAGAGGGGCAAGTCACTTCACCCTCTGTGTCTTGGTTTCCCCATCTGCAAAATGGGGATGTTCACAGCACCCGCGTCATAGGGCCCTTGTGGGGATTAAATGAGATAAGGCTCTTGGCACAGAACACGTACGTTTTAGCCGCTACCACACTGTTGTTCTTTTACTTAGCTATATTTTGAGGATTCAAAGAGTTAAAGAGCTGACCAACGTCAAGTCTGTAGAATAAAGTCCCGCACACAGTAGGCCCTCAGTAAATGACCGTGAAAACTGCAGAGGGGAAGCAAAGCGCCGGGAGGCGGCACACGGGACGCTAATGTATGTCCAGCGCTTTGCACTGCAACTGCCCTGGTGTAGATGCTTGGTTAACGCAGACTGTTGCTATCACGGTCATCATTACCACGGGGTCATCATGAGGGTTAAATGAGCTGATGTTTGAAAAGTTCTCCAAAAGAGGCCTGGCATTTATTAGGCACCGTATGGATGTCTATTCAACAACTCAATGTTTAGCTGTAGGTTCCTTCTGTCCACCCCATTTTATTTAACCTTTGTGGTGGCCCTGTTGTTCCATTTGATGGATAACGGCTCTGAGCCTCCCCTTGCTTTAGTGACCACAGCCGGGCCGTGAGAGACTCTCTTGAAAGCAGATGTCCTCCTGGCAAGGGTGGGCTAACCGTGCCAGGCCAGTTCATGCTCTGGCTCTCATCCACCGCTGAATTGGATCAGGGGTGCAGGGCAGGCTTGGCGGCTTGTAGGATGTCAGGCAGCATCCCTGGTCTCCCCCAACTAACCACCAAGTAGCAGATCCGCCCCCACCCTGGCCACCAAGTGGTGACAACCAGAAATATCTCCAGGTACTGCCAGGTGCCATCTGGGAGCAAAATCGCCCTTGGTTGAGAAAAGCACACATCCCTGCATTCACGTCTGCCCCTGCAGTGTGGCCAAGTGACTTGCCCTCTCCAGACCTCATTTCCTTGTCTGTAGAATGGGGAGAACAGCACCTCCCCAGCCAGGATCCTATTCTGAGGAGTCCGTGTGATGATGTGTCAGACACCTAATGTGAAATGCTTGACAGATGCTCAGTGAGTAATAGGTACCATGTGTGGAGCGCCACTGTGTGCCAAGCCTGCCTTTGTCTCTCCAAAGTTGTAACTAATTTAATCCTCACCACCGCCCTCCTAGGCAGGTGCCAGTGTCCTCACCAACCCCCGTTTTTCAGAAAAGGAAACTGAGGCACAGAAAGGTTAAGAAACTGGCCCAGAGTGGCACAGCTAATCTGCAGTGTGGTTGGAATTTAAACCCGGGTGCCCTGGCTCCAGAGATTGTGCCTCTCACAACCACTCCTTGTGGGTTGTTTTCACCCGGATGTGGGGATATTGTGGTTTCACCCGCTTCATCCCCAAGCTCAGATTCAGCCCACATGGCAATGGTGCCCCATCCATCCTTGGTTGATTTTTTTTAGGGGCCTGAGCCCCTCAGAGCTAACACAATCAATCATGTATGGTTTTCATCTTTGAGAACAAGGAAGTCCTTTCTGAAGAAGTGCCTAAATCAGAAATGGGCAGACTTCTTCCTGTGGTTCAAATTTGGCCCACTGCCTATTTTTGTAAATAAAGTTTTATTGGAACACAGCCACGCCCATTCATATCCATATTGTGTGTGGCTGCTTTCACACCATAGCAACGGAGTGGGGTTATTGTGACAGAGACCGTGTGGCCCACAAAGCCAAAAATATTTACTATCTGGCCCTTTATAGAAAATCTTTGCAGATGCCTGCTTTAAGTAATAAGAGAGAAGACTTTGGCCCTGTGGGGAGGGATGATGTGGCCATAAACGGTCCTAAACCCCCTCTCAGTGTCTTCTGGCCTCTGTCGTCACCACCTGGTCCTTGTGCACAGAGGCAGAGACAAGTTCTGAAACATGGAGACAGGTTCAGAGTCAGAGGAGGGCATTTTCAGACTCCTGTGTTGCTGGGACTGTCTGTACCATCTGGCATGGTAGGCGTGAGCCGCGTGTGGCTCCCCAGCACTTGAAATCCCACGAGTTCGAATGGAGATGTGCCTTAAGTGTAAAAGACACACTGCATTCTGAAGATTCTGCAGCAACAACAGAAAAGAATGCAAAAAAATCTCACCAGTAATTTTATATTGACTCTATATTAAAATGATAATGTTAGGGATACACTGGGTTAAACAGAATATATTATTGAAATTGATTTCATCTGTTTCTATTCCCCCTTTTAGTGTGGCTACTGGAAACTTCTAAATTAAGCATGTGGCTCAGGGTGGATTCCTGTTGAACAGAGCTGGTCTAGGGCAGGGTCGACAAATTGGACTGAATAATTGTGTGTTTGGTGGGGGGGGGTGTCTCTTGTGCATTATAGGAAGGTAAGCACCATCCCTAGCCTCTACCCACTGGATAGATGCCAGTTACATCTAGCAAATTCTCAGGTTATGATGACAAAGAAATGTCTCCAGACATCGCCAAATGTCCTTGAGGGGCCAGAATTGCCCCAATTGAGAACTGCTGGTCTAGCAAGAGCATGGCTGATGTTGTAGGGATATCAGTCAGGGGAGTATGAATAAGGTCGGGGTCTGATGCCCTGGGTCGGAATCCCAGCTCCACTGTTTGTTCGATGGGTGGTCTTGGGCATGATGCTTACATCTGTGCTTCAGTTCCCAAATCTGTGAAAGGGGATAATAATAGTACTTGCTATCAGTAAATGATAGCAGAAAGAGAAAGGGGACCTTGGTCAGAAAGAGCTGTTAACGCCAATTACCACCTGCTGGGGCTGTGGGTGGTTAAGTACTGTTGTCATTCTGAGCCTCAGTTTCCCCTTCTGCAGAATGGGAGAAGAGGTGCATCCCCTACGGGGTAGGATGATAAAGCAATCCCATGCCTGCACAACAGCCAGCACACAGTAGGGCATTTTTATAAACATCAGGCATTCTTTCTTCCTCGAAGCCAACACAGTACATGGGAACTGTGCAGAGCTGGGCAGAGGAGAGGTAAAGCCCCGAAGAGTGGGTTCCTTGGCTGTTTCAGTGTTCTGCCCACCCCAGACGTTTCATTTCACTGGTACTTTTTGTTTTTTTGTCTCAAGTTGCTCCTGACCCCCTGGGCAGCACTGCCCCCAACTCCGAGAGCCTCGCCTGGACGGTGGTTCCTGCCGGCCGGTCCGTGCTGGTGGTGGCCAGGGGCAGTCAGTGGGCGCAAGCCAGATGGGATGCCACCTTCCCCAGGCCGAGCCTGAAGCAACAGCCCCCCAGTAACGTCTGGGCTCCTCCCACGCCTGGGGCTGGGTGCTGGCCACCTCTGCCATGTTGTCATTTGAGTCTTGGTCCCCCGGGCGGGAGACAAATGATGCCGTCACGCTGTCCAGCCTCCACATGGCAGGATGCAGCTTGGAGTGTTGTGGGATCCGTAAGGAAAGGGTCCACTGGTGATGCCGGTGGAGTGTGAGGGGCTGGGGCCAAGGCATACTGGCCACACCTTGCTGAAACTGATCAGTGCTTCCCTGAGATTGGCGGAGAACTGGGGATGCTTTTCTAGAACATTTTACAGGGGCTCACTGGTCTTTCTTGTCCAGCTCATCAGTGAGTCAGCTTGGGGAGGAGCTTTCTGCACTACCCATGGGTAGAACTGCCCTCTCAGCTACTGAGCTCTGATGACAAGTGGCCCTGGGTCCACAACTTGCCCCACCTTGCAGCCCGAGGGAAGAGGCCAGGGATTGCCAGTCATCCTTGAGGGGGGATGGCGTATGGGGCAGATGTGCACCCTTCTCAATCTCCTAGGTCAGGGCTTGGCAACCTAGGGCCCACAGGCCGGAGCCAACCCTATTCAGTATGACCCATGAGCTAAGAACGGTTTTTACATTTTTTTTTTTTTTTTTTTTTAGTGATTGACAAAAATCCAAAGCAGAGTAATATTTGCGACCTGTGAAAAATGATATGAAACTCAGATTTCAATGTCCATAAATAAAGTTTTATTGGAATATAGCCATGCTCACGTGTTTGCATCTTGTGGATGGCTCTTTTTGCATTCTGATGGCAAAGTTGAGTGGTTTATGATTGCGGCCAAGTGGTTCAGAAACCCTAAAATCTTTACTGCCTGGCCCGTGACGGAATATGTTTACTGAGCCCTGTCCTGGAGAAAATAAAATGTTTGCACCTGTCTGGAACTGCCAAGAGGCCAGGAAGTTAACGGCAGAAATTGTAATGTGTGAGTCACCATTGTGTTTGTCCTGCAGCTCTGCAGACGGGGCGGTTTCCATGGAGCTGGGAGAGAAGGCAGTGAGGGAAACTCTTAAGTGCTGTATCCTGGGAGCCCCTGATCAGGAGTCACCAGTACACGTGTTAGGAGATTGGTCATGCCCTCTTGGTTCTCCAACGCGGTACTGTTACCAGGATTGTTTTTTGCTATACAGACTTAAGGCCTGTATCTCCAGGAGGTTTAAATTCAGTAGGTCGGGGGTGGGATACAGTCATATGGCTTTTTAACAAGCACCCCTCCCCACCCCCGCATGACTCTGGGTGGGAGTCGCCCACCTGCTTGAGACCCGTTGATGAAAGAGCCATATGGCTCAGGATGATGGACAGTGCAGGTGGCCTCATCAGCAGGAACTCCATTGAGTCCCTTGCCCTTGGGTGCCCTGCCTCATGTGTTGAGTTAGGCTCCCTTCTGTCTCCCCACTAGAGACTCTCTCTCCCAGAGAGTCTGTCTCTGGGGACTCAGGACCATCAGCCTTCCCCAGAAGCCCCCAGCAGGCTCCTCTTCCTTCTTGTCAGCCTCCTGTGAGGACACTTGAATGACAACATGGTGAGGCTCGGCCTCCTGCTCTGGGACTGGGTCTCTTTCCTTGGCTCTTGTCTCTCTCTCTTTCCCCCCATGCCCCACTTATTCCTCTCTCTTCAGCTGTCGTTAGCTCTGCCTGTCTGCTGAGGGCCCCAAATCTCGGTGGTGGCCTTTCACTGGATCAGGTGGGCTCAAAGGTCTGGGTCAGATGATGATTGGGGTCGCTGTCTCCGACTATCACATTCAGGGTCTTTCCCTGTCCCTCTGCTGGCCTAGGGGCAAGCTGCTTGCTTCGGGATGAGGTTTTGGTGACCCACATAGGCTTAACCGGGGCTCTTGCTCCATCCCTCGTGTCCATCACAGTCCCCCAGGACCTGATGGATGTCTCCGTGAGCAACCTACCGCCCCTATGGCAACCCAGCCCCCGGAAGTCCTCCTGCTCATCCTGTTCACAGAGTGGCTTGGCCGATGGTGGCTCATCCAATGGGTGCAACCATGAGAGGTATGAGGGGCTTAATCTGTGGGCGGAGGGTATGGAAGGATTTGCCAAAGATTTATAGATGCCCATTTCTTGCCCAGCACTGAATTCAGAGGAGGAACATAAGCTATGGAATCCTCGAGGTCTGGGTTAAATCCTAGCCTCGTGAAGTCCTAGCTATCGGAGCTTCCTTCCATGTATCAGTCAGGATAACCAAGGTTATGTTGCAGTAACAAACAGTCCTGAAATCTCAGTGGCTCAGTACAACAGAGGTTGATTCATCGTGCATACTGTGTGTCTATCGTGGGTCAGCTGGGGGCTCTGCTTGCCCCACATTAAAGGGCCTGGCTGATGGAGCCACAGCATCTCGAATATTCCCAGTCACAGTGACAGAGGGAAAGGCAGCTCTGGGGTGCCTGGACGACAATGAAATGCTCCACCCTGAATGCAGCACATACTATTTCTGCTCACGCCTCATTGACCCCATCCACCACAGGCCATGAAGCGCAGTCCTATCATGCTCCTGGAAGGCAGAAACTAGAAATACTACTCACTGCCAACCACACGTGCCTCAGTTTGCTCCTCCGCCGAATGGGGATACAAATGCTTGCTTTGTATAGCTGTCGTAAGGACAAATCAGATACTGGTCTAACATGGCCAGCAGGTGGGACCCAGCACCTGGCAATGTTCAGTAAGTGATGCTTCTTATTTTATTGGATAAAGTTCGATCCCCAGATCATCTCTCTCCTGGCCCATAGATCTCGTGTGTCTTCAGGGCTGCTCAGTGCAATAACAGGACTGGTCTTGTTTCCCAACTGATGCCACATGGCCTGGCTGGGGATAATGGAATCCCTTTTTCCATGCCGGGCCTCTGGCCCAATGGGTGGTCCAGTCTTCAGCCATAAGAGCTTAAGGGGTGGGAGCTGACATCACATTTTTGCAGTCATCTAAGGCCTGGCTTTCAGCATGTGGTCCAGAAGCAGAATCTGCATTTAACAGGATCCTAAGATCATGTGTGCACTTTTCAGTTTGAGAAGCACTCTTGTAACCAGAGAGTCTCTCATGTCTGTGTGCATCAGAATCACCAGGGGGAGGTGACACTGGTTCCGAGACAACTTCCTTAGGGGTCCTGATTGAGTAGGTCTGTGCAGGGCCCAGGAATCTGCACATTGGAGAAATTCCAAGTGATTCTTGGGCTATGGTCCATGGGCCATTGAAAAACGCTGTTCTAACCTAGTATGCCCTCTCATGGCATCTGCTTACACACCTGTAGTGATGGGGAGCTCACCACCTTTCAAATGGCCAAGTCCACTGTGGGACAGCTGTCTGTGTTATGCTGTTCTTAGGTAAACTGAGCAAGCCTGAGTCCCACCAACCTGAGGGCACAATGAGGGTGATTTTAATGTTTAATGCCTCCATGTGTGTAACTGGAGTACTTTAGCCATGCCTCCTTGTCTTTTTGAGATTTCCTGGGTGTCCCCAGATGTCCTGAGAAAAAAATATGCAGATATTCCTCCACTCTGTTCTCTGCAAGGATGCACAACACTCCTATCAGCAGTCCTTGATTTCCCCAACAGTGCTGGGGCCTTTACTCCCCTCTCCTCTTTCAGCCAAAACAGCCCCCCTCCAATTCCCACACAAGAAGAAGCTCTGAGGCATCACCTGCCTCGCAGTCAGCCGGACTCTGAGTCCTGGTCTGGCTCAGTTTGGTTTAGCTGGCTGACTTCGGAAGTCGGAACTCTGTGTGCAAGCGACAGAAACCCACTTCAGACTGGTTCAAATACAAAAGAAAATCTCGACAGAACGGAGGAGTCTAGAGGTGCGATGACTTCAGGCACCGTTGGCTCCAGACGCTCAGAACACAAATCTCTTATTTCTTTAGCTCTTGCCTCTGACTGCCGCCGTGATACTTTCATTCTCGGGCAGGCCAGGTCCTATGCAGGGGCAGAACTGGATCCCAGCAGCTGCCGCCCTATATCCTTCTGGCTTAGGAACTCGAGCGGAGAGAAGAGTGTGTATTTCCCTGGAGTTCCAATAAAATGAGTCTGGGGCTCATTCTCCTTGGCTCAGGTTGGATCACATGACCACCTCTTACGCAGTGCCTGTGATTCCAGCCTGAGTCCCGTACTGGGTCGAATCAGCCCCAACCAAACCGCAGAGAGCTGGGGAGAGAGTGACCCCAAAGCTGATAGGAGAAGTGGCGGTATGGGTAGAAACAGTAGTCCCCCCAGAGTCCCCTTGGCTGGCTGGTTTTAATCTGCCCCCTACAGGTAACGAGCTGACCTCCTCCAGCAAACATGGGCTCTGTGTGGTCTTATTCTAAGTGTCCTCTCTCCCTCCACCTGCAGGGCCCCGCTGAAGCTCCTCTGTGACAACATGAAGTACCAGATCCTTTCCAGAGCCTTCTATGGATGTGCGTATTGGCCTCATTTGCCATTGTGGTCTACGGGCGCGTTTCTCGAATGCCTGTTCTATGGCATCCATGTCGGGGGAAGGAGCCTGGCTCTGGCACGTGAACCTCAGCTCAGATGTGTCTAGTTTTAGTGAAGTTACGTGGACTTCTCGGAGCCTGAACTTCCTCAACCAGAGACTGGGCATAAATTTTATCTCTGGGCTCTCAGGACAGCCAACGACGGGGCTCCTTGGTAGCAGGGGTGTGGTTAGTCACCATCACGTCCTCGGTGACCACCTTAGAGGGTTTGTTCTCAGAATTAAATGAGAAGCATGTTATAAAGCCCTTAGCACCTGGCATTACATGTCATAGGTGCTCAGTAAAAGTCGGTTCCCCTCACCTATGGGCAGAAGCAGAAGAGTAAGGAGAAGTTAAAAATTAAAACAAATACAGGTATTCTGATTATTTCCATTTAACACATGGGGAAACTAAGGCACAAGGAGGCAAAGTGACTTGTCCAAGGTCACACAGCTAATACAGGACAGAGCTGGGGCTCAAACCTAGGCCCGCCTGACCCAAAGGCTGCTGCTGCTGTTGTTGTTTTCCACTCTGCTGTGTTGATTCTTAGCACGTTTTATTTTCCCAGCCTCCCAGCCTAGGTGGGGGAGATAATATGTCAGGGATTCTAGAAAAGTGTTAATATATCCTGCGTGGGCCTGCAGAAGAGCAGTGCCGGCCGTGTGTGCCTGAATGCCTGGAGAGGCAGGGGGAGTATAAGCTCCCAAGATCAAGGTTTTTGCCTGTTATCACCCATCCCCAGTCCCTAATGCAGGGCCTGGCATGGAGCAGGCCCTGGATGCATATTTATGGGACCCAAATGGAAGAGCTTCCTGGAGGATGGGTTGGGGGTCGAGATGGATCTTGAACAGTGTTAGCGCATTCAATGGCTCATCCCTGATGGTGGTTGAGAGCCCAGGTTCTGGCGCTATGCAGCTTGGGTTCAAATCCCAACTCTGCACTTCCTAGCAGTGTGACCTGGGCAAGAGACAGAAGCAGTCTGTGCCTCAGTTTCCCCATCTGTAAGGTGGAGAAGGTAGGAGTACCTGTTTCATATGGCTGTCATGAGAATTTAGTGAGTTAAGTACGTGAGCTCTGGGCAGCTCCCTGGCACGTAGTATGTGCTTGTGTGTTAGCCATTTCCTCCCCTCCCACCTCTCCCCCCTCCCCCTCCCCCTCCTCCCCCTCCTTTTCCTCTTCTGCCTTGTCCTCCACATTGCTGGTAGGGGCCAGTCCTCAGGCCCCTCCCCCTCCCCCTCCTCCCCCTCCTTTTCCTCTTCTGCCTTGTCCTCCACATTGCTGGTAGGGGCCAGTCCTCAGGCTCCGGAAGGCCCAGGGTCCTCTCTAGGAGTTGATAAGGGAGAGCCAGAGGGAGGGGGCACAAAGCAAACACAGGCTAGCATTTGCTGAGTGTCTCCTGTATACCAGGCACTATGCCCTCCACGTGCCCAGCTGAAGGGCAGCAGGTTGGCAGGCATTCCTTTAAGAATGCAGGGCCATCTCTGAAAGCAAACCAGGTGCATCTCCCAGGGCCTTCTTTATCTGGCTGCACTTTGAACAAAAGTCGTCCACCTCTGCCATTCTCCTTCTCTCTTGGGATGGATTGGAGGCACCCAGAGGCACAGTGAGCCTGTGAGGTCACTTACTGCCTCCTGCCCCTGGATTAAATGCCTTGGTTTCTGGCAGAAGAGGTAATGTCACCCTGGCCCAGGCTGAGAAAGGTGATTGGACATCCCCAGGCTCACACAACTATTAAGCGGTCAAGCCAGCAAGAATTTTGCCCCTCGGAGCCCCTTCCTTGTCTGGAAGAGAGGGATGATGGGATTTTCTAGGTCATAAGCATTCACGAGAATTGCGGGCAGGGCAATGCTCTGAGTTCCGTGAGACAGGGCAAGGTAGGTTGGATGGTGTGGATGATGGCTTCCCTCCCTCCCTGTCCAGGGCTTGCCTACTGCAGACACCTGTCCACCGTGAGGACCCACCTGTCAGCCCTGGTCAATCACATGATCGTGTCTCCGGACTCGCCCTGTGATGCCGGGCACGGGCTGACGGCCAGGATCTGGGAGCAGTACCTTCAGGACAGCACAGTAAGCCTTGGCCTGGCTCAGCCTGTGGTGGGGCAGAGCCAGTGGGGGGACCATCTGGTCATCTGAGCAATAGACGCACCTGCTTACAGGGACTCGAGGCTATGACACCTTTGGGTTCTGCGTACACAACACAAAGGCCCCTCCCTTCTTGAGAGTTCCAAGACCCACAGCCTGCTTCTGCCCATAGGGGTTGAGGATCAAGGAGGATGGAAAGTACGCATGATCGTCTAGAAGGAGTAAGAATGAATCAGTCACCAAGCATTTATTAAGTACCAGCTGTATGCTCAGTGCTGCAGGGGTGCTGTGAGTCCTCAGCAGGAAGGGACTTACAGTGCAGTTGAACTACTTAGAATGACAAAAGTAGCTAAGTCAGAGGAGGCAGCCGGGACAAGAAAAGCCCACCATCCTGCAGAACTCTCCCATCTCTGCCTCAGGCCTGAGAATCCTCCCATTAGATATTCCACCTGGACACAGATTTGTAAGATTTTCTTATCAGAAGGCAAATGCCCCCAATAGGAAGATGTTTACATTTGAAAAAAGTGTCCTGGTCAAAGTGGGAAACAAGATGAGTCAACTTTTCTGTATCCAGAACTTCCTAGAACCTTGCCTAGGCTGATAGGCTTGTCGCTCTCAAGAAACTGAGGGTGGCTGGGGTGGGAGAGCGTATGGAACAGTCCCTCAAATGTATGGGGCCACAAGGTACCTTTGTTGGAAAAGTACCTCCCATGGCTGGTGTGGAAGGCAGAATCCATTTTGATAGACACTAGTCTAACTGCCACCAGGAGCAGGCATTCAGAAGAAATAACCTGATTCTTACACGCGGGATGAAACGGTGGCTCAGTCCACTGGGTGCCTTCCCACCCAGGCCCTGGGGAGGGCCAGGCTGGTAAGCACTTGGGTCGGCTTGGCTTCCCCATGCTGGGGAAAGGTGCTGTTCTGTGTATTAATTTGGGATCGCTGGGGGACTCTGGAAAAACAAACTGGTTCCCAAACCTGGACAAACAGAAGGGTTGTTGGACTTGTTTTTTTGCCAAAACTAGCTGTTTTTCTAAACGACAGGAGGAATGCCTACTTACTGTGACAACTCAAACAATGAAGAATGCAGGTGGATAGAACAAAAATTGTTCAGATACCTTCTTTCTGCCACAGAGCTCTCGTTCTGATCCCGAGTTAATGAACAGTGTCAGTTATGTAGAGACCCTGCCATATATTCCTTCTGCTTATACATCCATAGATACATCTACGTTAGGTATATCTGTAATTCTTATTCTTTTTCAATTATGTTTGTATTTTAAGCAACAACTTCATTTTATATCAAAGGCATCTTTCAGATCTCTAGGTGAAATATTGAATGCTAGCTCCTTAGCATCTGACAGATGAGTAGCCCATAATTTATTCAAATCTTCCCCTAAATGATAGACAATTGGGCTCTTTCTCTTTTTAAAAATTATTTCAAACAATGCTTCAGTCAACATCTTTATATAAGCACATATCATTCTGACCAGTGCTTTTATTCAGGGGTAGATTCCTAGAAATTAAATTGATACGCATTTAAAATTTAAATAGATATACCAACTTACTTTCTCAAAAAAAAAGTCATAGTGTTCATAATCCCCGACAGCCTGGGAGAGTGCACATTTCCTGAGGAATTCAAAAGATTTATAGACTTCTGGGCTCCACTCCAGCATTGCTGATTTAGCATCTCTGGGAGTGGAGCCCAAGAATTTATATTTTTTGAAAGTTCCCCAAAAGCTTCTAGTGATCTCCCCAGTTTGGGAGATACTAGTCTAGGGACAAGTTGGTTGAAAAAATAAATCAGTCAAAAATGAATATTTTTCATCTAACACTTTTGCAACCCTTTCACAAACCGGCCATATTTTTACCTTTCTTGGTTGCATTGTTGTATTAGGGTGCACTGAGCCACAATAACAAATAGTCCACACTTTTTCAATTGCTTGACATCATGGGGTGTATTTCTTGCTCACTGAGGAGTCCTAGGTGGGCATTCCTGGTGAGTGGGCATCTGTCCTCCCTCCAGAGGTTCAGGGGTCTCGTGGCCCCACCATCCTCCAGAGCCTCATGGTCATCTGCCTCCAGGCAGCAGAGGGGAAATGGAGAGTCTGAAGGGAATTTACCTGCTTCTTCAAAGCCCTGGCCTGGAAATGGCTTATATCACATCCTGTCATATCCCATTGGCCAGTACCTTGTCACATGGCCACCCCTAACTGCATGGGAGGCTGGGAAATGGAGTCCAGCTGTGGGCTCCAGAACCCAAGCAGGTGGATTTTTGAGGAAGAGTTTACAACCTCAGCCACAAATAGTTCTCTGATTTTTAAACAGCTTTGACAAAGCTGTCTGCAGAATACAAATTAAAATTTCCAACAAAGACAAAGGAGTGGCTGGTTTTGCCATTGTCATCGGATACATCTAAGATGAGCATTAAGATGTAAAATCAGTGGGACGCCTGGCTGGCTCAGTCAGTGGAGCATGCGACTCTTGATCTCAGGGTTGTGAGTTCAAGCCCCACACTGGGCATTGAGCTTACTTTAAAAAATGTGAAATATGCTTGTAATTTTGGAATGTTAAGAGAGAGGAGGAAAGAGAACCCCACTACCCTTCAGAATAACTTTCTAGTAGTCATTGGTACTTTCCACACACACACACACACACACACACACACAAACATGAACAGATAGAACCTGCTGGTCCCCCAGTGTGACTAATTATAACTGCAAAGCCTTTGCCTGAAAATGAATGTTTAAAAAGAGGGCAAATCTATTGGACAGTACAGCAAACAGTTGTTAAAGTCATCCTAGTGTGCCCAGAAGTTATTAGTGCATGAAGAACCAGCTGGAAATGTTCATTTTGGATTGATTTGCTTTTAAATAATTTTCTTTGAGCTGAGTCAAGATTAATAACTTTCAGATAATGCTGCCGCTTCAACATAATGCACAAAACTGACTAAAAATTAAGTAGAAATGTTAACTCATTCTATACTGACCTTTTGGGTTTTTTGCACAAAATGGGTTCACACCAGATATGTTCCACATTTTGGTTTTTTTCCCACTTCACAATACACTTTGAACATCTTTTTGTGTAAGTTCTCATGGATTCACCTCCTGCCCTTTCTTCTCTTTGTCGGTATTCCCATCTGCGGGTAGTTGGGGGTTTTCCCATATGATGCCAGGACGGATATCCCGGTACACACGGCTTTGCTTATTCACACCATGATCTCTAAAGGCCACATCTGAGAAGTGGGACGGCCAGCTCACAGAGCCCTCCTTCTGGTTTTCTGTTGACCAAACCCTTTACTTCCTCCCACCTACCACAGAGTTACGAGGAGCAGGAGTTGCTACGCCTCATCTACTATGGGGGCATCCAGCCGGAGATCCGCAAGGCCGTGTGGCCCTTCCTCCTGGGCCACTACCAGTTCGGGATGACAGAAACAGAGAGGAAGGAGGTTGGTTGCCCCTGATGGGCAGTGGGGTCTTTGGCAACAAAAGGAGCCAGGTACTGTGGGGCTGGGGGTGCTCTGGTTTCATGCTGGACCAAGATGGGACAGGGGAACATGGGGGAGCCAGGAAGCTCCGGGGCAGGGCTGTCCAGTAGAAATACAATACAAGACACAGATACCATTATTTAAAATTTTATTTTGGGACATAATTATAGATTCACAGAGTTACAAGAAATAACGCAGAAGAATCTCGTGTATCTTTTATCCAGTTCCTCCCAGTGGTAGCATCTTAAAAAAAGTATAATACAATATCACAACCAGGGCATTGACATTTGTGTGTGTGTGTGTGTGTGTGTGTGTTGTGTGTGTGTATCACCACCACAGTCAACATACTGAACATTTCCAGTGCTACCAGGGTCTTCCTGTTACTCTTTTTTACCCACACCTCCCAGCCTAGCACTTGGCAACCACCAGTCTATTCATTCCTGCAGTTTTGTCTTTTCGACAGTGTTGTACAAATAGAATCATGTAGTATGTAACCTTTTGGGATTGACTTTTTCACTGAGCGTAATCCTCTGGCAGTCTGTCCTTTCCGTGGCCAAGAGTTCTATGGTGTTCCATGGCCTGGGTGCATCACAGTGTGACTATCCACCTGTTGGTGGGCAGGTGGGCTGTTTCCTGGTTTGGGCTATTATAAAGCAGCAGTGAACATTCGTGTTTTCGTGGGAGCGTAAGTCATCATTAGGTGCTCAAGAGTACAACTGCTGAGACATACAGTATGCATGCTTAGCTTTGGAAGAAACTGTCAAGCTTTTGCAACGGCTGAACAATTTCTGTTCTCACCGGCAATATCCGAGTGATCCACACCTGCATCCTCCCTGGAGTTTTGGTCTCATTGCTGTTTTTTTTTTTTATGTTAGCCACTCAGGCAGGTGTAAATGATGTTCCATTGTGGTTTTAGTTGGCATTTCCCAAAGGGCCAGTGATATTGAACATCTTTGCACATGCTTACTTGCCACCTGAGTATCTTTGGTGAAGTGTCTGCTCACGTTGTTTGTCCATTCTCTAGCTGAATTGTTTGGGTTTTTACTGTTGGATTTAGGAGTTCTTTATATACTCTAGATATTCCTTAGTTGTTGGATAAATGGTTTGCAAATATTTTCTCCCAGTCTGTGTCTTCTCTTTTCATCCTCTTAGTGGGATCTTTTGCAGGACAAATTTCTAAATTTTTGATGAGGTTCAGTTTATCAATTTTTCCTCATATATATTGTGCTTTTTGTGTCGAGTCTAAGAATGTTTTCCTTAGCCCTGGATCCCAAAGATTTTTTCCTATGTTTCTTTTCTCAAAGTTTTATAGTTGTACATGTTACGTTTAAGTCTGTGATCCATTTTTTTTTTTAGAACATCTTAAATTTTTAATCCTTTCTTTACAGGTTACCTAGACCGCTTTTGATTAAGAAAACTGTAGAAAGTTAGTAACTGCCACAAGCAAACGCCAGGCAGCCGCATGTGTCAATTTTCCACAGAGTCCTGCTTTGCGGGGTGTCCGCTCACACTCGCTGGAATCGATCGCGGCAGAGTTTAGTCCACAGGTCGCTTCTCCCTGTATTTCTTTGTAAACTCTTCAGCATTCTTACAGAATTTTTTACGGTCCTTAGAGTATTCTTCAGCTAGGTCAGCCCGAAGTGGGTGCTTGGGCTGGGGGTCGTTCACCAGTGCTATGAGGGACTGGATTACTTGGTCGGTTTTGGTTGCTGGCTTCCAGTTTTCAGCACTAATTACTGGCAGACAGACCTGCCCCTTTTCATCGATGTTCGGGTTTTTATATATTAAATATATTAAATTATATGTTAAATAGATCTTTGTTTTAAATGATCTTTGTTTTAAATGTGGAGTCCCTGGATCAAGTCCCGCATCGGGCTCCCTGCTCGCCCTTTGTTTTAAATGTGATCTTCGGTGGTTTGAATGGGCACTCTGCTGGAAAGTTGATTTCGATTCTGAAGGCCCCCTTATCATATGGAGGGTTGTCAGGAACAATAAGCCCTTGCCAAGTCAATAAATTAGCTTCATCAACCTGGATGTTACGGAAGATTTTCATTCCACATTTGCGGATTTCTTCAAGCTGCTTCATCAGCCTCCTGCTGGCCGCCATCTTGGATCTGGTGCTGTTGCTTTCCCCAATCTGTGATCCGTTTTGAGTTCATTTTTGTATACAGTGAGTGGTTTAGGTCAAGAAGGTTCATTTTTTGGCCTGTGATGTCCAGTGGTTCCAGCACTATTTGACAGAAAGGCTATCCTTCCTCATTGAATTGCTTTTGTGCCCCTCTCAGCAATCAGTTGGGCATATTAGTGTGGATTCTCCATTATGTTCCGTTGATCTAATACCACCCTGCAATGAGTCACCTTCAGCTGATACCACACTGGAGCACCTATATTAATCTTAAATGTTCAGTTAATGTTTTAGTAGTCCTGTTTTGAAAAACAGAAAGAAACAGATGTCCACAAAACTTTTAAAAATGATAAGTTCATGAGAAGTTGCAAAAACTATAATAAAGAGGTCCTGCCATACCCATCATTCGGCTTTCCCCAGTGGAAGCATCACCTAGAACAGTAGCCCATTACCGAGGGCCAGGACATTAACATTGGCACAATAGTGCTTGCTTAACTACAGACCTCACTAGGATCTCACCGGCTTCTGCATTAGCTCTTGTGTTCTTGTGTGTGTGTGTGTGTGTGTGTGTGTGTGTGTGTGTATGGGTAGGTCTACATCATTTCATCAAGGTGAAATTAATTTTAATATATTTTATTTAACCCAACATAGCCAATATATTACCATTTTAGCGTGTAATCAATATAAAAATTGAGAGACTCTACATTCTTTTATTTTTTTTTAAAGATTTTATTTATTTATTTCAGAGAGAGAGAGTGAAAGCACATGAGGGGGGGAGGGTCAGAGAGAGAAGCAGACTCCCTGGCGAGCAGGGAGCCCGATGCGGGACTTGATCCAGGGACTCCAGGATCATGACCTGAGCCAAAGGCAGTCGCTTAACCAACTGAGCCACCAGGCGCCCCTCTACATTCTTTTGTTCATACTAAGTTCTTAAAACCATATCCATGTACCACCTGTGCTGTTATATATTTGTCAGTAAGTTGACTCACTGTGTGTAGAGCTTATTTAAAAAGATAGTTGATATCCCTGCATTCAGTGGAAAACTGACATGACTTGCCATAATAGAAGGAAACCGTAAAAATAAATAGGATATGACAAAAAGGTATAATTCAGTTCCACACAGATGCCATAGCCTGACTGAGGCCTGTTCCCTCACTGTCAGAAAGGGGGATTATGAAGTGTTATAGGAGGTGTTCAAGACACTGTAGCACCAGACTGACCTTTCCCATAATCGGAAAAGTTAAAGGGGAGCTAGAAATAGAAATCACACTGTGATTCCGTATGATAAGACCCCCTGCCAGTGAACTGTCTAAAATCATCTCGGGAAGAGCAGGAGGCCCCCGCCATGCTTCACCCCTTGCCTGCTGGGCTCCTGGCAAACAGGAACAGCGTTCTGGGGTGCCAGGCCCCGTGCTTGGGACCAGGCACCTGATGGTGCATCAGACAAGGTCCTTGCCAGTTTAGTGGGGGTTGTGCAGAGTCCGATGGAGGCAAACCCAGGGGTTGTAAGAGCGCACAGGAGGTACCTCTGCCAGGCAGAAGGCTAGCTGCTTGCTTTCCAGGCAAGAGGGGTGAGGAAGGGCCTCTAGGAAGAGGGGCCAGCAAGAGCAAAGCCCGAGGGGAGACTCGTGCATGATGCGGGGTGTGTATGTGTATCTGTGTGGGTTTGTGTGGGGAGGGTGGGAAGTGCGTGGTGGGTATGGTGGCTGGAACATAAAGAACAGGAGAGTGGGGGTGACAGCGAGAGGTGGGGCTGGGCAGGACACAGGCTGCTGAAGGGTAAATGCATTGGCGGGGCAGGCTGGGACGAGCAGGCACCGGGAAGGAGGCTACTGGGGTCGTCCTGGTGCAGGGTCATGGAAACCTAGCCTAGAAAGGCAGTGGGAATGGGGAGGTGTGCTGGGACGAATCTTCTGGAGGTCAGTGGGCGGGAGGAAAGGCCTTTGGTCAGGGTGGACCCTCAGCCTCTTTCTGGAAGCCCTAAATAGCTGAAGGACTCCCCACCCCTCCCAGCCCGGCATGGGGCAGGCTCTCTGCCCTCTCTCTTTGTGCACCTCCAAACCCTTACTTAGATCAGCTCGTCTGCCCCCACTTGTGCCCAGAGGCCTGACAGATTCAGAGCCTCAGTTACCCGGGCTGTGTATCAGGAACAACGCAGGCTGCCCTCTGGTCTGCTGACATGCCACAAGGAAAATGCTTGAAATCTGTAATCCTTCTGTAAGGCCATTGCAGGAGTAAAGGGGAGAGGTCAGTTGTGTTCATCTTTGTATCCTCTGCTCCTGGCCCTGCGCTGGGCACGTGGGAGGTCCTCAGTAAACGTGTGGAGGGAGTGGATGGATAGATGGAGTGGGGCATCCTGCTCATCTTGTTTTCCCTATGCCTAGTGTGGTACCTAGCACAGTGTAGGTACTTCCGAATTAGGGGTAAATGAGTGAATGAAGAAGAAGAAAAGGTAATAAGGAAAGAAACAGTCGTCTCACTTCCGAACCCCCTAGGCTTAGTACGCAGATACTTGAATGTATGAACGAATGAATGAATAGGGAGGGAGGGAGGGAGGAAGGGAACATGGAAAGAAAGAAGTAGCCTTGCACACATATGTGTATCCCCAGGGCCTAGCCAGTGCCCTGCACATGGTAGGTGTTCATTTAATATCCATTGGATGTCTCATGAATGATGGCTGGGTGTCTCTGGGGCTCAGGGTCCCAGGCCAGAGCTAGCATCCTCTTCTGGCTTGGGCTGGCTCTCCCCAGGGGTGACTTTGCCTCTGCCCCGGCAGGTGGACGAGCAGATTCACGCGTGCTACACACAGACAATGGCCGAATGGCTGGGCTGTGAGGCAATCGTGCGGCAGAGGGAGCGGGAGTCCCACGCGGCTGCCTTGGCTAAATGCTCGTCAGGGGCCAGCCTGGACAGCCACCTGCACCGGATGATGCACCGGGACTCCACCATCAGCAATGAGGTGATGGCGGCACCCATCTGGGAGCACAGGGGGCAGTAAAGGCCGGGATCTGTGCCGTTTATTGTAGGAATGGTGACGGCTGGGTGTCTGGAGCCGTCACCCCCGGCATTTGTCAAAGCATGGAGTTTGACAGACCTGTGTTTGAATCCAGCCTCACCATTTCCTAGCTGTGGGGCCTCAAGCAAGCACCTTTACTTCTGGGCCTCAGTTTCCACATCTACAAAATGGGAACAACCATTTGCGTAGGGGAGGTTTGTGTGCGGCTCACGTGAGATAGTGCCTACAAAGCGCCTAGCACAGTGCTAGACTTTCACATATTCAGCAAATGCTCACTGAGTGCCTGCCGCGTGCCAGGAATGTTCGGGAATGTCAGGAACGCTCCAGTGGCCAAGTCAGACCTCTGGGCTCTCACAGAGCTTCCAGTTCAGCAGCCCAAAGAAGGAGCTGAGAAGAAAGTTACCTCTCTTCCCCAGCGATGTATCCTCATCGGGTTGCCAGCAATCACGTTGCATAGCATTGCAAGCAACCACCCAAAGTCAGCAACTTCTAACAGTAAACACTGAATATATACGCATGGGTCTGGCTCAGCCGAGCACCTCTGAGCGGGGCTGGCTGGGCTTACTCTTGCGCCCACTGTCAGCGCCTGGTAAATGGTTTGTTGATCTTCGCTGGGCTCTCTCCCACGTCTGGGGTGACCGGCTTGTGCGCCCCATGTCCCATCCCCCAGCAGGCTGAGCTGGGCACGTTCTTGTAGTGAATGCAGATCATAAAGAGACAAAGCGGAAATACACACAAGGGCTGGTTAAACCCCTGCCCTGGCGAGGTTGCTGACATCCCCCTGGCCGAAGCAGGTCACAGGGCCCAGCCTTGCAACTGAGCAGGCAGGAGTTAGAAGTTATAGGGCAAAAGCATGTAGACAGAGAGGGGAATAACAAAAAATCAGGCCAACAGTGCCAACCAGTCACTCAGAGTTGAACTTATATATTAGCCAGAAGTCTCAAGTACAGGGCAGTTAAAGGTAGGGTTTTCCAGTTGCAGGAGTGGGAGGTGGGGTCCTGTGGGTGCTGTGTGGCCCCCGAGGCTCCAGGGAACAGAGGGAGACCCCCCTCTTCTCGTCGCTTCTCGTCGTACAGATAGGAGGCTGAGGCCCTGATAGGACTTGCCCAAGTCAGGAATAGAGATGAGACCACACTTGCAGAATCCCTGCCTGAGCTGAGGGGCAGGGGCCCAGAGCTGGGATGCAGCCTCACCCCTGCTCTCTCCGCCCCCTTTTCTATCAGTCCTCCCAGAGCTGCAGTTCCGGCCGGCAGCATGTCCGCCTGCAGAGTGACTCCAGCAACAGTACACAGGTGACCTTCTGGAGGCCCCGCCCCTTCCCCATTCTCCCCTTCCCGCATCCACCCCCTCCCTCCAACCTGGAGTAAAGGCATTGGACATCTATCATCTATAGGTCACTTATGGTCTATTTGTTTTAGCTTTTTATACTAGCATTAAAAATGGAGTTTTTAGTTACACAAGTAATACATGAATCTCTTCTTGTAAATAATTAAAATATTGCAGAGAAAGCTAAATTTAGCTTTGACCATTCCTAATCCCCACTTGCGCTCCCTAGAAATAGCATTTTGCTGTGTGTCCTGTCACCCTGCTGATTGCCTGTACATACACAGAAGTATGTACACAGTATGTAAAGGATATATTGCAATGTTTGATAATTTTTGAAAATTTCTACATAAATGCCATCGTATGTGTTGGTCCACAGCTTTCCATTTTATTCAGTGAAATGTTAACTCATCTCACTGGATATTAAATAAAAATGCAAAGCCCCCAAAATATGCACAGTGTCACCTTTTGCATAAAAAGAGGAAATACTAATATTAATATACCTATTTTCAAAAACAATGGATGAATAAGCCAGAAACGAATCAGAATGGTTACCTACAGGAATCAGGGGAGAGGCACAGGGAAAGAAGCTACATTTCCATGAATACCCCTTGTCTCCTAGTTCCAACTTTGGAATTAGGTACTTTTTTTTTTTTTTTTACATAATTTAAAACAATTGACTCTAGAAGAAACTTTTAAAAACCAAAAATGTGATTTTAACAGCAAATCAAATCAGATTGGTGACATAAACACACAGAGAAGAAATATTTCATGTCCCCTTGGAACGTGGTCTTATCTCCCTAATAGGATATGATCTCAGGACACAAAGAACCACAGATAAATCTGAGATGTATCCTGGAGGCTTTTCCATAGTGGTTCATACATATCTAACTACTTTTGAAAATTGATCTGTAGTAGCCAACCACGTGGATATAATATGCTGTTTTTAGCCTGTTCCTTATGTTTTTAACTAATTTTTTACTTAAAAAATCTACGTGCATATAATTTTGTGTGATGAAAGGTGCGCTTCTTGCCGCTTGAATTCCCAAGTACTCCCTCCTCAGACAATTTCAGTGCTTCCTTATTTCTGGATTATTCTCTGCATTTCCACGCAATAGGTCACTTTTTAATTTTTACAACAGGAGCAGATATTATACGTGGTTCCACCCCACCCTTTTCCCCAACTGTATAGTATTGCGCGTGCATGTTCCATATCTGAACCTGTCCCCCGCTGATGGGGATTAAGGTTGCTGCCGGAAGCAGCGCCACAGTGGACATCCTCATCTGTTTTTGTGCACCTTGTCTTCAGGTGTTTGAGTCCGTGGACGAAGTAGAGCAGGTAGAGACAGAAGGCAGGTTGGAGGAGAAACAGCCCAAGATCCCCAATGGGAACCTGGTGAATGGCACCTGCTCCCCGGACTCTGGCCATCCCTCTTCCCACAACTTCTCCTCGGGCCTCTCGGAGCACTCAGAGCCCAGCCTGAGCACAGAAGATAGTGTCATGGACGCCCAGCGCAACGCCCCCCTGGCGCTCCGACCTGGGGACAGCAGCGCAGATGACGGGCAGAGCAGCGAGGCCACCACCTCCCGGGAGGAGGCCCCCCGCGAGGAGCTGGCCGTGCAGGACAGCCTGGAGAGCGACCTCCTCGCCAATGAGAGCATGGACGAGTTCATGTCCCTCACCGGCAGCATGGACGTGGCCCTGCCCGAGAAGGAGGGGGCCGCCATGGAGGGCTGGGGGGGCGGCGAGGTGGAGAAGCACAGCCAGGTGGACAGTGAGGACAACCTCTCAGAAGAGCCCGAGATGGAAAGTCTCTTCCCCGCCCTGGCTTCTCTGGCCGTGGTCACTTCTGCCAACAACGAGGCGTCCCCCGTGTCTTCCAGCGGTGTCACTTACTCTGTAAGCCGCCAGGATTCTCCTCCACTCGGTTCTCTCACCTAACAGCTGCGGAAGGGTTGGGCGTGTCCCACGAGCCTCAGTTTCCCAGCACGCACGACCTCGGGTCTGTTAACATTTTCCCCAGCACAGAGGCTGCCCTGGAGAAGCCCCTTTGGGAGGGAAGACAGTATCCTACCTCAAGATCACAGGCTGTGCTGTTCAAACCGTCCCAGATTCAATCCCAGCTGGGGCATGTCTCTTTATCTTTCTGAGCCTCAGTTTCCCTATCAGTTGGGTACCTTCTCTCTTGAGCTCAGAATTAGTGAGTCTGGTCCTCCGTGCCTGACGTGTGGTGAGCCCTCCGTCAATAGCAGCCTTGAGGATGAGCATCTTCGCGTACACTCAGGTCCAGCATCTTTTAAATACTCAAGTTTGCTTTCTTGCCAAAAAGTCCAAGCCAAAGGATGTCAGCTGAATGGGAGGTTTTCTGAGCCAGGCCTGGTGTTTCCATTTTCCTTTAAAGAGCTTGTTATTTCTAAGATACACTTGCCCATAGTTTATAGAGTCAAAACAAAGCTAAATAGGGAACCAGAAGTGCCGCCCCACCCACCCGCGTGGAGCACACCCACATGGAGCTCTCCCAGAGGCAGTGAAGGTTACTTACTCTGCCCAAATTATCTGATGTTTACCCCCATGTCTGTAAATAACATACTTGTATTGCTACTTCTTGATCTTTTTTTTTCCTTTTTCTTCAGTTCCAGACATTCCACACCCACACCCTCACCCCACGGGTGACACCTTCCCAGCCCCATCCCTCCACTACAGTTACAATCATTTTAGTTATATGTTATACTAGTATAACAACATAATGTATACACCATGTAGGAAGCTGTATTTATTTTTTCTTTCCTACCAAAAAAATTCCGTTTTCCCTGGATGCGTTTTCATTTCCTTGTCTCTGTTTTCCTTTCCTACGTTTGCCACATATGCACCAGCAGTTCACCCCGCAACCTCCAAACTCTGCCAATTTTCTAAATCTCTCCTGGAACATTCAGACACATCAGCTTTTCTATTCATTTTTATGTCTCAAGAAGTCTCTCCAGTGGCTCTTCCCAGTCCACTGCTCCCGAGAGATAGCTGTCAGATTTTTCTTCACCTTCACGTAGAAGTTACTCTTGCTTTTGGATTATCCACCTGCATACGTTGCAAACCTGATTCAAAGCTGTTAATTATCCAGGGAGATATATTTTACACTTCATTTGGCACCTCTATTCAAGACAGGCCTTTGTCCTTGAGACCCCAAATGTTAGTTTTTCTTCCAGGCTTCCCTTACCAGGGATGGGGCTCTTTGGGGGTCCCACCTTAATGTAGGAAAGTCTCTTAATAGATTCCTGACCTTAGGGGAGAAGGACCCCAAAACCATTCAATCCAAGCTTACATTTTGCCAATTTGGAAGCTTCCTTCAAGGCAAAAGCCAGATTTGGTATTTTCTTGCCTTTTTGGGTTAAATTTTGGCCTTGAAATATTCCGTATTTTTCTTGCCATATCATTGCACCTTTCCATCAGGTGGGGTCAAGGCAGCAAGTCCAGCTTATGGCCGGAACTGGACTCTTGCTCGCTTCCTCCGTTCTTCCTGTCTGGTGCTCAGGGGGTAGGGGTGCACCTCCAGCTAGTTATAATCCTCCTGCACTCAACGGGGATAGTCTGTGCACCTTAGAGAATTGTCTTGTTTCATAGAAGGGAGAAAAACAAAAAGAACCTTCGTCATACCAAGTAAAAAGAGGCTTTCCCGGGCAACAACAGAAAGGAAACCAAATACCCACGCGGTCCAGGGAGAGGATGTGCATTTCAGTGGCACCAGGAGCCGATGGGCGGGGGCGGGGGGGAGGGAGAACCTGTGGAATCCGACCTCTGGGAGGAGTGGGGGTGTAACTGTTCTTTCCTTCCCCTCCGCGGGGGCCTGCAGCCAGAGCTCCTGGACCTGTACACGGTGAACCTGCACCGCATCGAGAAGGATGTGCAGAGGTGTGACCGCAACTATTGGTACTTCACGCCCGCCAACCTGGAGAAGCTGCGCAACATCATGTGCAGGTGGTTGGGGGTGGGGGGCGGGGGTCTGCAGGGGTGCAGAAGAGGGTAGCAGAGGCAGGGGCCCCAGGGAGCCCAGCTGGACAGCCACCTCTGCCCCTGGCACCTTGCCCACCTGGCGTTTATGCCAGCCCACACTGACAAGATAACAATCAGAGCAACGATAATAATGGAGCATTTATTAAGCCCTTACTGTATACCAGGTTCTCTCCTGAGCCCTTTACTAAAAGCTGTTTCGCCTCGTCCTCACAGCCAGCCTGTGGGGTGTTACCTCCCACCCCCCTACCCCACCCATCCCCCATCTACAGGGGAGGAAACGGAGGTTGAGGGCCACCACATTGCTGGAGTCCCCCAGCGGGGCAGTTGGCTGAATGGGAGCTCATACTCCCATGTCTCAGGTTCTAGAATCTTGTGCTTTATTTCCTTAAGCCAAGACCTGGAGCTTCTTATTACTTTTCACTACATACTGAATATTTTATTTCTCAAAATCTGAAAGCAACTCAGGCTTATTAAAAACCTCAATCAACCAGCGAAACTAGAAGTTCATAAGGTCCAAAGAGAAACTGCTTCCCTTTCCAGTCATAACGCCCCCTCCCCTAGAAGAAACTCCTGCTAACAATTGAGCGAACATCTTCCCAAGCCATATATGTATTATGTGTGTAAAAAAACACAATAGATTGTATATATTGTATAATATCACATGAGTGCATATGTGTTTTGATGTTTTTTTTTTTTTATTTTACCTATATGGGATTAATACTATGTTTTCTACAACTTGCTTTATACACTTAATAATGCATCCTGGACATCTCTCCATTCTACTCTAACTCAGGGGTTCACAAACGACTAGTATAGCCCATAGGCCAAATGCAGCCCACCGCTCGTTTTTGTAAATAAAGTTTTCTTAGAACTTAGCCATGCCCATTTGTTTGCATAGTATCTGTGATTGCTGCTGCAGAGTTGAGTAGTTAAGACAGACAATGTATGGCGTGCAAAGCTGAAAATAATTATTATCTCTCAGGAAAGGTTTGCCAACCCCTGCTCTAACTCATTTTTATTAATAAGTACTATCTCTTAACTATTCTATTTTACAGTCTCCTAAGCAGTCATTGCCTTTCAAAATTGAGTTGAGGGGATACAAATATAATGAACTTTAATATAGTATATTACATTAAAATGAAAAGGTGCTGGGGAAGAAGGAAGGATAGACCAACTTTTTCTGGGGTATGGCTTTGGGAGAAATCATGGAAGGCCTCACAGAGGAGGTGACATTCAAGATGGCCTTTGGCAAATTAGGAGAGACTCAAGAAACCACTTGGCATACACATACCCTGCGGCGAGGCCACCTGGGTTCAAATCTTGCCTCTGCCATTTATTATTAGGTGAATGACTCTATGCATGTCACTTATGTCTCTGGGCCTCAGTCTCCTCATCTGTAAAATGGGATATGATAATACCTTTCTTGTGATTGTTTTGAGAATTTCATGGTGCTATACATGTTTAGTGCCTGAGTATACGGTAAACCCTCAGTAAATGTTAGTTCTTATTATTAAGGGGCAGGTGGGAACTCCAGGCACAGAACTGCTAGGGCAAAGCCCAGGGGCGTGAATATGTGCCAGAGAGGAAGAAGTACCAGGATGGGGGGGGGGGGCGTGAAGATGGAATATGTGCCAGAGAGGAAGAAGTACCAGGAGGTGGGGGGGGGGTCGTGAAGATGGGTGGGGAGGAGACCCTGAATGCCTTGTACCCCCAGTGAAGGAGTTTGCACATTGTCATGTCATGCAGTGGGGAGCCCGTGAGCATGTGGGGCTCTGAGTTGGGCTTTAGGAAGGCCACTGTGGTGGCTGAGAATAGGTTATTTGAAGAGTGTCAGCCCGGGGTAGGGGATGCAGGTGGGAGCTGAAGGAGTGAGCGGTCCAGGTGAGGGATGGGGGGCCGCGCCAGGGAGGAGGGAGAGGATGAATGGATTGGAGAGACAGGTCGTGAGTGCCATCCATGGGCCCCTTGTCTTTCTTGCAGCTACATCTGGCAGCACATTGAGATTGGCTATGTCCAGGGCATGTGTGACCTCCTGGCTCCATTGCTGGTCATCCTGGATGATGGTGAGTATGTCCTCCCCACTCCAGGGCCAGGGGTGCAGTTTTCTTCCTACTGCAGAGGAGGGGTGTTAACCTCATTTTGTGACTCTGTGGAACAGGTCAGCACAGGTGCTCAGAGGACCTGTGGGTGAACACACCAAGGTCCTAGTGAAATAAAAAGTCTTGATGTTCCATATTAGCCAACACTTAACTGCCAGGGGCCCAACACCGAGCCAGGCCTTTGCTAGCCACTGATTGTACAAACGTGAATGGGAACAAAGAAAAACCCAAGGCCAGATGTCTTCACTGGTGAATTCTACCAAACACTTGAAGAAGAATCAATACCAATGCTTCACAAACTCTTCCAAAAGGTAGAATAAGGAGGGAATACTTTCCAACTCATTCTGTAAGACCATTCCTTATATGAGGACCCATTGGTACCTTGATACCAATACCAGACAAAGATATCACAAGAAAAGAAAACTACAGACTGACGTCCTTTATGAATATAAAGACAAAAATCCTTAGCAAAACACTTGGCAAATTGAATCCGGCCAGATATAGTAGGACTATATACCATGACCAAATGGGATTTATCCCAGAAACACAGGCTGGTTCAACGAAGTAATTCACTATATCAGTAGAAATAGGACAGCAATGAAACGGTCATCTTAGTTGACGAGGAAATGGCATTTGACCCAGATCCAACACCCTTTCATGTTAAAAACACTCAACAAACTAGGAATAGAAAGAAACTTCCTAAACACGATAAAAGGCACCTAAGAAAAACCTACAGCTAGTTCATGCTCAATGATGAAAGACTGAATGCTTTCCTCCTAAGATCAGGAATAAGACAAGGATGTCCACTTTTGCTACATAAGATTCTAGACAGGGAAATTAGGGAAGCAAAAGAAAGAAAAAGTAGCCATACTGGAAAGGAAGTAAAACTATCTACTGGCAGATGATGTGATTTTTTTGCATATAGTAATCCCAAGGAGTAAGAAAAAAAGTACTGGAGGGGCGCCTGGGTAGCTCCGTCGGTTAATGTCTGACACTTGAGTTTGACTCGGGTCATGATCTCAGGGTTGTGAGATTGAGCCCCGTGTTGGGCTCCACACTGGGCGTGCAGCCTGCTTGGGATTCTCTCTCTCCCTCTCCCGCTGCCCCTCCCCCCCAAATACTGGAGCTAATAAAGTCCAGCAGGGTTGCGAGACACAAGTTGTATATACAAAAGTCAGTTGTACTTGCCTACACTTGCACTGAACAATCCAAAAGTGAAATTAGGCAGTTCCATTTGTAATAGCATCTAAAACAAGACATTTATGAATAAATTTAACAGAAGAATTGAAAGATTTGCAGGTTCAATTACAGACCGCTGTGATACAGTGGATATTGCAATAAAGGAGTCAAATGAATTTTTTGATTGCCCGGTGCATATACAAGTTATGCTTACACTACACTGTAGTCTATTAAGTGTGCAGTATAGCATTGTCTAGAAAAATAATGTACATACCTTAATTTTAAAAATACTTTATTGCTAAAAAAAAAATACCATCATCTGAGTTGGGTGAGTCATAATCACTGATTACAGATCACCGTAACAAATATAATAATAAGGAAAATGTTTGAAACCTTGCAAGAATTACCAAAATGTGACACAGAGACATGAAGTGAGCAAATGCTGTTGGAAAAACGATGCCGATAGACAGACTTGCTTGATGCAGGATTGTCACAAACCTTCAATTTATTTAAAAAAAAAGTATCAGAAAAGTACAATAAAACAAGGTATGCCTGTATGCCAAAACTGTAAAACATTGTTAACAAAATTTAGGATCTAGGGACGCCTGGGTGGCTCAGTCAGTTAAGCGTCTGCCTTCGTCTCAGGTCATGATCCCAGGGTCCTGGGGTTGAGGCTGGTGGGCTCCCTGCTCGGTGGGGAGCCTGCTTCTCCCTCTCCCTCTACCCCTCCCCCCTGCTCACGTATTCTCTCTCTCTCAAATAAATAAATAAAATCTTTAAAAAATTTAAAGATCTAAATAAATGGAAAGACACCTCATGTTTATGGATCAGAAGACTTAGTAGTGTTGAGATGGCCGTTCTCTCCAAATTGATTCAGTGCGATCCCTATCAATATCCCAGCGGCACTTTTTGTACAAATGGGCAAGCTGACCCTAAAACTCATTTGAGATGCAAGGGACCAAGAATAACAAAATCAATTTTGAAAAAGCAGATGTTAGAGGACACACAGTTCCCAGTTTCAAAACCTACTACATTACAGTAATCAAGAGAGTGTGGTACTTCCACAAGGATAGACATGTAGATCAGTGCAGTAAAATTGGAAGTCTAGAAATAGGGGTGCCTGGGTGGCTCAGTCAGTTAAGCATATGCCTTTGGCTCAAGTCATGATCCCAGGGTCCTGGGATCGAGTCCGGCATCTGGCTCCTTGCTCAGCAGGGGAGCCTACTTCTTCTGCCTCTGCCCCTCCCCCTGCTTGTGCTTGCTCTCTCTTTCTCTGACAAATAAATAAATTCTTTAAAAAAAAAAAAGGAATTCCAGAAATAAGTGTTTCTGGTAGTTTTACATCACTTGATTTTGACAAGGGTGCCAAGACATTTCAGCCCTGCAAGGAAAGAAGGGTCTTTTCAACGTAAGATGCTGAAACAACCAAGTGTCCACATGCTCAAGATTGAAGTCAAACTCCTGCTTCATACTATATGCAAAACTACTAACTCGAAATGGGTCATAGACCTAAATATAAGAGTTAAAACAATAAAATTATTAGAAGAAAACATAGGCATACATCTTGGTCACCTTGGGTTTGTGACTTTGGGTGTTAAGCAGTGGTCTCTTAGATATGGCACCAAAAGAATAAAGTGACAAAATTAAAAATAAATTGGACCTAACAAAATTAAAAACTATTGTGCTTCAAAGAACACCATCAAGAAAATGAAGAGAGCCCAAAGAATGGAAGAACATGCTTGCAAATCACATGTATAAGGGACTTATATCCAAAATATGTAAAGAGCTCTTACCATTCAGCAAGAAAAAGATAAATGACCCAATTAAAAATGACAAAAGGTTTGGATAGAATTTCTCAACAGAATAGAAGACATACAAGTGGCCAGTAAGCATATTAAAAGATGCTCAACATCTTTGTGTCACTAGGGACATGCAAATGAAAACCACAAAGAGATACCACTGCACACCCACTAAGATGGCTAGAATCAAAACCATGGAAACTATCAACAAGTGTTAGTGATAATATGGAGACATTGGCGCCTTTGTACTTTGCTAGTGGGATTGTAAAATGTCTAATGTTTTGGAAAGCAGTCTGGCAGTTCCTCATAATGTTAAACATAGAGTTACTGTAAGACCCAGCAATTCCACTTCTAGGTATACCCCAAGAGAAATGAAAACATATGTTCACACAAACACTCTGTGCGGGAATGTGCACACAGCAGCATTATTCACAATAGCCAAAAAAGTGGAAACAACCCAAATGTTTATCAGGGATGCATGCATAAACCAAATGTAGTGTAGCCCTATAATGGAATACTCTTTGGTCAAAAAATAACTACTTGACACATGCTACAATGTGGATGAACCTTGAAAAGTCTATGCTAAGTGAAAGAAGCCAGACATAAAAGGCCACATAGTGCATGATTCCATTTATTAGAAATGTCCAGAAGAGGCAAAGCTGTAGAGACTGAAAACAGAGGGCTGACAGGGGCTGGTGGAAGAGGGAAATGGGCCATGACTGCTGATGTGTGGGGTTGTCTTTGGAGGTGCTGAAAATGTTCTGACCTTCGAGAGGATGGTTGCACAATTCTGTGAATTATACTAAAAACCCGAGCCTTACACTTAAAACGGTGAATTTTATGCTGTGTGAATCTCAATAAGGCTGTTAAAAAACAGGGAGCATAACGCTCTACTCCTTAGACACGGGCTGTGCATCGTGACTTCCTTCCCAGAAGTTCAGTATAGAAGGGGGTGCGGGCAGGAGGGAACCTCTGGTAGAGAGACCATGACAAACACTGCGACAGCCAGGTGACCGACATCAACATTACCGGTCATAATCATGTGGGTAGCAGGTGCCGGTGACATGATGTGATTAAAATGGCATGTTACCCTGTGGTCCTTCTCCCAATAACCCCAAATCCCAGTCTTATCGTGAGAAAAACATCACAAATTCCAATAGAGAAGGCTCACCTAGAATACGTGACAACTGTTCTCACAACTTCCAAGGTCATGACAAACAGGGAAAGCCTGAGAAACTGTCCTGTAGAGAGAGGAGAGGAGAGAGGGAAGACCTGTATGTAATGTGTTATCCCAGATGGGTTCTTGGAACAGAAAATAAACAAAACTATGGAGTTTAGTTAATAATGTGTCATCAGTGGTCATTAATTGTAACAAACGGACCATGCTAAGATGTTCCTCATAAGGGAAACTGAATGTGGGGGTATATGGAAATTGTCTCTGCTCTCTTCTCAATTTTTCTATAAATCTAAAGTGTTCTAAAAAAATAAAGTCTCTTTATTTTTTTTTAATTTTATTTATTTATTTGTCAGAGAGAGAGAGCGTGTGCAAGCTCAAGCAGGGGGAGTGGCAGGCAGAGGGAGAAGCAGGCTTCCCTTTGAGCAGGGAGCCTGATGCGGGGCTCCATCCCAGGACCCTGGGATCATGACCTGAGCTGAAGGCAGACTTGTAACTGACTGAGCCACCCAGGCGTCCCAAAAATAAAGTCTTTTTAAAAATGAAGATCTTACTATGCCTTGGGAAACCTTCCAGTCTAGTGTAACTTTCTCCCAAGTTACCAGGTGTTAAGAGGGAAAAAAAAGTACCATTTTCAAACAAAGTTTTCTAAACGCTGGCTAAAACAGTATGAAACAGGTTTCTTTATTGCGGGACTTCTCAGAGGCTTTACTTTCTCAATTATATGTAGTTCCTCTCTAGCATTTCCCAAAGTTATTGGACCCTTTCTCTGCATAATGCCTGTTAGAACCTTTCCAGTATTGACAATCACCATTTTAATTCAGCAGTTCCCAGACTTGAGAAATCCATGAACTGGTAGAATTTTGAAAAAAGAAAAAAAAAGTTTGGGACCAACAAAACATCAACAAATTTTTATTAGAGCAAATAGGGATCTTTTAAAAAGAGTATGTGGGAGCACCTCATTGACTCAGTTAGGCACTCAACTCTGGGTTTCGGCTCCAGTCATGATCTCAGGGTTGTGAAATCAAGCCCGTCGTCGGGCTCCATGCTCAGCGGGGAGTCTGCTTGAGATTCTCTTCCTCTCTCTCTTCCTCTGCCTCTCCCATAGGCATATGCTCTCTCTCTAAAACAAATCTTTTTAAAAAAAGTAAATAAAAAGAGGATCTTGTGTCATCATCATTTCCTGAAAGAAAGGCTATTTCGACCCCTCGAAGGTGGAAAGCATATGGTTAAGACTGCAGAGCATTCCCTGACGGATCCACGGACTCTCCCTTGTCTATGTGTGTCTCCTCTGGCTGTGGACCTCATGAACCAGCTCGGGGCCTTCGACCTTGGGATCACCTTGGGAGCTCGGGTTCCCTGGGCAGTGGCAGCTGTTTCTCCTGTGCTCTTTCCCCAGAGGCCCTCGCCTTCAGCTGCTTCACAGAGCTCATGAAGAGGATGAACCAGAACTTCCCCCACGGAGGCGCCATGGACACGCACTTTGCCAACATGAGGTCGCTGATCCAGGTAGGACCGGTCCTATTCGATAATATAAGTTCTTCCAATGGTCCTCAAATCAACAGACTAGCCATGCTTAGTCTAACTCAGTTCAGTTCATTCCAACTCCGTTAGCTCAAATCAATGCCACTGGATTCATTCTCACTGAGCATTTATTCAGTCCAGGCCTCCTGGCTACGTAATGAACAAGACATGGCTACATAATGAACAAGCCCTTAAAAAGATGTTTGCCTGTCAGGGAAATACAAATCAAAACCACACTGAGATACCACTTCACAACGGTCAGAATGGCTAAATTTAACAAGTCAGGAAATGACACATATTGGCGAGAATGCGGAGAAAGTGGAACCTTCCTACACTGCTGGTGGGAAGGCAAGCTGATGCAGCCACTTTGGAAAACAGTTGAAAATAGAGCTACCCTACGACCCAGCAATTGCACTACTGGGTATTTACCCCAAAGATACAAATGTAGTGATCCGAAGGGGCACCTGCACCCCAATGTTCATAGCAGCAACATCCACAAATAGCCAAACTGTGAAAAGAGCCTAGATGTCCACCGACAGATGAGTGGATAAAGAAGATGTGGTATATATACAATGGAATATTATGCAGCCATCAGAAAAACAAAATCTTGCCTTTTGCAATGACGTGGATGGAACTAGAGGGTATTATGCTAAGTGAAATAAGTCAATTAGAGAAAGAATTATCATATGATTTCACTCATATTTGGGATTTAAGAAACAAAACAGAGGATCATAGGGGAAGGGAGGGAAAAATAAAACAAGATGAAATCAGAGAGGGAGACAAACCATAAGAGATTTTTAATCATAGGACACAAACTGAGGGTTGCTGGAGGGGAGAGGGGTGGAGGGATGGGGTAACTGGGTGTTGGGTATGAAGGAGGGCATTTGATGGAATGAACACTGGGTGTTATATAAGATTGATGAATCACTGACATCTACCTCTGAAACTAATAATACACTATATGATAATTAATTGAATTTAAATTTAAAAAAAGATGTTTGCTTGTATTGGTCCTTTTCCTCAAAGTAACATCTGGGTATATTTCTCTCTCTCTCTCTCTCTCTCTCTCACACACACACACACACACACACACACACACAGCTTTATTGAGATATAATTCACATACCACACAATTTACCCTTTTTAAATATACAATCCAGTGGTTTCTAGCATAATCACAGTGGTGAAACCATCACTAATTTCAGAACATTTTCAGCAACCCAAAAAGAAACCCTAGGAACCATGGTAACATCAGTTCCTCTCCCCAGCTCCTGGCAACCACTAATCTACTCTCTGTCTCCATAGATTGACCGATTCCGGACATTTCATAGAAATGCAGTAACATGACATGTGGCCTTTTGTGTCTGGCTTCTTTCACTCAGCAACATGTTTTCAAGGTGCATCCGTGTGGTAGCAGGTGTCAGGAGGCCATGACTTTTTATTGCCAAATGATTCTCCACTGGTGGGCTCTGCCATGTTTTATGTATCAGGCCATTCACTGACGGACACTTGGGCTGTTTCTACTCTTCGGCTCTTGGGAATTGTGCCGCTATGAACATTCGTGTACAGGTCTCTATGTGGCCGTCTCTTTGCATTTCTCTCGACGATGTCCTTAGGGCTGACATTTCACCTGCCGCAGGCTACATTCCCTCCAGCCACATATCAGGGCTCCAGTTTCTCTCCATTGTCACTAACGCTTCATTGTCTGTCGTTTTGATTCTGGATTCTTGTCCTAGAGGGTGTGAAGTGGTACCTCGTTACTGTTTTGATTTGCGTTTTCCTGACCAATTATGCTGAACATCTCTCCCGTGCTTTATGGTTATTTGCGTATCTTTGGAGAAACAACTGGGTTGACCTGAGCTGGGTCGATTTTCACTTCAAATCTTTTGCCCATTGCCTAACTCCACTTGGTCATGGGGCTGTGTGGCATCCGGTAAGAGGGTCAGCCTCTATTCAGCGGACTCCTCTGGGCCAGTCTCCTATCGGGAGGCTGATGCCAATCTTTTCTCCCGCGGGCAGATTCTGGACTCAGAGCTCTTTGAGCTGATGCATCAGAACGGGGACTACACTCACTTCTACTTCTGCTACCGCTGGTTCCTACTGGATTTCAAGCGAGGTAATGACTTCAGACTGGGGCGTGTTTCCCAGACTCTTTGCAGCAGAACCTCAGGGGGAAGAAAGGAACCATGGAGATGAGGCTGGGGGTGTTGGAGCAAAGCCAGAGGAAGTGAGGAACACCTGTTTATCGAGTTCTGACTATTGGCTCGCCTGCCCTATTTTGCAATGACAGTTTGTTGTTACAGTCCCCATTTTACAGATGAGGAAACGAAGGCTAAGAATTCAATTCAGAGGTCAGACCAGTGGAGCCAGAATCTTAGGCCACCTCTGTCCACCTCCTAAGCCCAGGTAGTGCCCTTCCATTCTCTTATGCTGCTTATCAGAGGCACCCCTTGTCCCGTGCGGCATTGTGGCCCATGTGACTTAGAAATGGGGTATAGCACAGCACCCTGGTATTCTGCAAGGTGGGGGTGACGCTGATAAGAGTATCTACCCTGCAGGGAGGTGTTTATTGTGTGCCAGGCAGCGTGCTGAGCCATTTCTATGTATTTTCTCTTCAAGCCTCACCCCACTTACAGAGGAGGAGAGGGAGAGGATGATGGAGGGGAGGTCACCTTGCCAGGGGTGGGGCTGGATTCAGACTGAGCTTATTGGACACAGGAAGCCTTGCTCTCCACCATCGCTTGCTCTCGTTTCTCGACCAGCCCCAGAGGCAGCAGCGAGCTCTGCCTATGTGCAGAAGCAAGGCGGTACGCCCGTGGGTGCTAGAGGAGCTGAAAGGTGCAGGGAGAAAGGGGGACACTGGTCAAGGGACAGACAGCAGGGACAGGTCAGTGTAAATGAAACCCGGCCGGGCTCGGTTCCTTCCCTTACAGAAACTGGAAACTTACAACCCCCTAGTCTGCGCAGCCTTTTCTCCCAATAGGGAAACTGAGGCTTCTGATGGTCAAGTGGCAGAGTGCAGGTTTCCTGTCTCCTGACCTGAGTTCTATCGGCTGCACGAGGACAGAAGCATAGGGCACAGCTGGCCTGGGATTTTCCCAGAGGGAGGGCGGCAGCGGGAGGTCCGTGGCTGACCCTCTCCCCACGCGTGTGCGTGCCGGTGCTTTGGCAGAACTCGTCTACGATGACGTCTTCTCTGTCTGGGAGACCATCTGGGCAGCCAAACATGTCTCGTCCGCCCACTACGTCCTCTTCATCGCGCTGGCTCTGGTGGAGGTCTACCGTGACATCATCTTGGAGAACAATATGGACTTCACGGACATCATCAAATTCTTTAACGGTACCCACGTGACCGGGCTGCCCTCTGAGGGGTGCGGGCTTCTGACGGGCCCCTTCCTGGGGCCTTGGAGGGTGGGAGATGTGCTCAGATTGACACGCGGTGAAGGGGATGGGGAGCGGTTTCCATCCGCTTCTTGGGTCTATTTCCAAACGGATGAGTTGACATCTTGTAACGCGGAGAATGCATTTTTCTCAGGAATCAAGCAGAAGAGGCATGGGTGTTGAAATCAGGCTTGGGGGCAAACCCCGGCTCTGCCACTAAGCATCTGTGCCCGTGGATAAGTCACTTCCCCTCTTTCTAAACGTCTCTTCCTCATCTGTAAAATGGGGTAAAAGTGTCTGCTTCGGAGGGCTTATGGGCACAAAAGCAGCCCCAGGAAGGCATTTGAAGTGACGTCAGAAAGGCACAGCCTTTGAAATGGGATTCCGATCCCAGCCACTTGGGAGCTGTGTGACCTTGGGCAAGTGACTTCCTGTCTCTGGGCTTCAGATTCTTTGGGGATAGAATGGTCCTAACCCCTCCCTCACAGAGATGTTGGGACGATTAAATGAGACACCATGGATAAAACCTATTATGCAATACCTTGCTCATCTGAGGAGCCCCATAACTGGAAGTTCTTGCTCCTATTATCACTATTTAAAAATTTTTAAAAACTAAAGATGATTTTGGAAAAAAGCAAAAGAGGAAAAAAAAGCCACCTTTGACCCTACCCCAAGAACACTTTTTTTTTTTTTTTTTAAGAAATCTCTACACCCAACGTGGAGCTGGGACTCACAACCCCGAGATCAAGAGTCACACGCTCTGGGGCACCTGGGTGCCTCAGTTGGTGAAGCGTCTGCCTTTGGCTCATGTCATGATCTCGGGGTGCTGGGATCGAGCCCTGCATCAGGATCCCTGCTCAGCGGAGAGCCTGCTTCTCCTTCTCCCTCTGCCCCTCTCCACCTCTTGTGCTCTTTCTTGCACTTGCTCTCTCTCAGATAAATAAAATATTTTAAAAAATAAAATGAAATAAAATAAAAAATAAAATAAAATACTAAAAATAAATAAAAAATAAAAAGAATCACATGCTCTCCCGACTCAGCCAGCCAGGCACCCGAGCAACATTATTTTATTTTTATTTTTAAATCAAACATTTTATTTTGGAATAACTGTAGATTTAAAGAGAAGTTGCAAAGATAGTGCAAAGAGTTCTTGATACCCTCCACTCGGCTGCCCTTGATGTCTCTACATTACCTGAGCCTAGAACATTTTCACGACTAAGAAGTTAACATTGGTACATTACTATTAATTAACCTACAGTCTTTATTTGATTTTGATTGATTGCCTGGTATTTTTTTTTTTTTTTAAGATTCTTATTATTGGAAAGAGAAGGAGAGAGCATGAGGAAGGGGAGGGGCAGAGGAAGAGGGAGAAGCAGGCTCCCTGCTTTGCAGGGAGCCCGATGTGGGACTGGATCCAAGGACCCTGGGATCCTTACCCGAGCTGAAGGCAGACACTTAACCAACTGAGCCACCCAGGCGCCCCCAGCATTGCTTTCTTGAAAGGTCCCCAGTCGTGGTGTTTATACAGGGTGGGTGGGAAGACCTAACTTTCTTCAAGCACGCACTGGGAACCCACATCCTCTAGTTTGATTTCACAGTAGCCTCATAAGGCAGAAACTGTGGTAACCCCCATTTTACAGATGCAGAAACCAGGGTCCAAAGGGGCAGGCCTTCCCCAAGGTCTCTGCTTGGGGATGATGCCAGATGATGATGATGGGGATGCCCCAGGGACCCCTCCACTAGAAGCTGCAAGGGGGGCCCCAGGGTGGACAGAGAAGGAGGCTCATGAGCTCTTGCCTTCCGCTCTTTCAGAAATGGCCGAGCGGCACAACACCAAACACATCCTGAAGCTGGCCCGGGACCTCGTCTACAAGGTGCAGACTCTGATCGAGAACAAGTGAGGGCCTGCTCTCCCTGGGCCGTGTCTGCCGAGCTGCCCGCCCGCTTTTCCTTCTGGCCGCCCCGGGCGCGAGGTCCCCGTGTCTGTTCATGAGCATGGACTTCTGTGCAAAGAAAAACTACCCCAACTTTGGCCACCCGGGCAGGTGGGGTCGAGGGGTTGCCCCTTCAGTTCAGCCTTACGTTTTTCCGTTTGACCAAAGATTGTCCGAGTCTGGGATTCCTCCCTTGCGGGAGTTGGGGTGCGTCAGCAGACGGAGGGAGCATTTTCGTGGGTGGCCTCCAGAACAGTCGTGTCTCTCTTAGTCTGTCCCAGTCCGTCCAAGCTGTTCTGTCAGATGAGACTTGGGGAGGGAGTTTTGGGGGGAATTGGTGTAGGAGAGGTCTGTGGGGCTACCTCTGTGCTCCGAAAGGGGCCTTTGGAGGTGTTCCAGAACATGGCTGGAAGGTTGGCTTGGAGCAGTTTCTGCACCTCCGCACTGTGGACGTCGGGGCTAGGTAGTTCTTTTCGGAGAGGGGCCGCGTATTGTAGGGTGTTGAGCGGCATCCCTGGCCTCTACCTGCTAGACGCCAGCAGGGCCCCCTCCCCAACCCAGTTGTGACAACCAAGACGTTTCCAGATATTGCCAAATGTCCCCATTTGAGAACCACTGACGTCGAGGAGGGGATACCGATGTATCTCCCTCCTCGCCTTTTCTTTACAGGGCCTGGGTCCTGAGGCCCCTTCCCATTCAGAAAAGGCACACGGGAGTCCACATCCCTTTCAGGGGCTGGATGCCGTTTGTTGTATTCTCTCATTTTTTTCTCCTGACCCCAGGAGAGACTGATTTTCTTCTTTTCAAGAAACGCCTCTCCCTGGAAGGGTGATGGAGCATGAGAAATGTCTGTAGGTGTGAGACAGCCTGAGGCTACTTGGGGTCCCCCCCAGAGTCCCCCTCCTTCCCCCCGATACAGGGCAGACTGCACGTCCCTTTCTTCCCCTCCTGGGGAAGACCTCACCTCTCCTTCTGCACGTGGGGTCTGGTGGTCCAGAAGTTTGGAAGGTATGTGTTGGCGAAAGCCACTTCTAGAGAAGTCAGGGAGGCTGGCTTTTCCCTAGGTGCCTTGGCTCGCCCAGGACAAAGGAGGAAAAGGAAGGCAGAGGTCAGCCAGGGTAGACTGAGGTCAGCCAGGGTAAGACTGGGGCATGTGTTTTCCTTGGAAAACATGCCGATGACCTGGCGCCAGGGTCATGGCTAAGTCTGGGAATGGTCCCCTCCGTGTCTTCACACAGAGGGTTGCCAGTCACAGACAGACCCTGATCTAGCTGGTTCGCCCTGCCTACCTGTCCTTCTGCTCAAGCGGTCCTGCCAACCCTCTTCTGAGAATGCACGGGACTTGGGAGAAATATCGTCCGTTTGGAAGGCTCCTCCCCGGAATGGCAGGGAGGATTTTGGAGAGGGGAGGAGCCTCAAAGCACATGGAAGCTTTCATAGAGAGAGTACATTAGTCCTCTGTCCTGAGCAAACCAGGAGAGGGAGGAATCGCTGCCCTGCGTGCTTGTGAAGGCTAATCCCTTGGCCCCAGTACCTTCAGCTGCATCCACCCCCCGCAGTCCCTGATGCGGGGGCCTCTTGAGCAGGATGGACGAGACCTAAATGACCCTTGCCTCCGAAGAGTATGCTCCGTGACAATTGCATCTCCCTGCTCTGGTCCCCTGCCTTCCCAAGACACCGGGGGAGGGGGGGAATGTGCAAAAGCCCCCTCCGGATCAAAGGCTATCTAGTCACTCAGCTGTTCGTTACAGAGGACATTATTTTAGCAAGACCCAGGTCCTAGACCTTCCGATTCTTATTTATTTTCTCGCCAGACCAGTCACAAAGTACAGCACACAGTCCCTTCTCCGCTTTCTCTCTCGTGGTGTTCCAGAGAAGTGTCCGTGGTTGTGATTTGGAACAACTCCTATTTATTCGGCTTACTGTGCTTTTTTCGGTCTCTGTACATTGTGTGCGTCCTTGTGTCCTGGAAATCGAGTGTGTGGGAAGTCGTTCTGTCTATGGAGGGCCTTCCTCCTTTTCTTGTAACTGTTTCCTGAAGAGTTGTGTCTATATAGAGAGAAAATACATATAAACAGAGAAATGTGTGAATATGGGTTATTTTTTCGTTTCTGAGCTGTGGGAATTTTTTTTAACACGAAGGAGGGAAATATTCGCTGTGGGAGACTGTGTCCTCCCAACCCCACCCCAGTGACCCAGACCCAAACGGAGACCGAGTCTCATGGTAGCTGCCTGGTCTTTCCCCAGGAGGTTCAAGGCAGGCAAAACACTTCTCGCTCCCTTGTATCAGTTAGCTGTCAGCATGAGTAATGCTGCATAACAAAGCACCCCAAAGCTCAGTGGCCTTGCACTGCCATTTATTTAGCTTGCAGTTCTGTGGGTTGACCGCATGGGCTGAGAGGGTCTTCTGGTCTGAGGTGGACTTCTTCGTGTGTCTGTGGTCCGCTGATGGCCACCAAGGCGACTCCACTTCTGAGGGTTGGCCTGCTGTCGGCCAGGAAACTGGGGGAAACTGGGCCACGTGTCTCTCATCCCCTGGCAGGCCAGCTCAGGCTTGTGTATGTGGCCATGGTGGCAGTTTTCAAGAGAGCAGGCAGAAGTGTGCAAGACCTTTTGAGACCTCAGCTTGGAATTGGCATGAAAGCATTTGTTCTACATTCTGTGGCTCAGAGTAAGTCACGTGGCTGAGCGCAGATTCAAAGGTGGGGGATCCCCTAAGATCCAGTGCACAGGAGGGGTCCCCAGATGGTCAGCCATTTGACTCGGGGTCAATACCTCGTCGTTGGCACCTGCTGAGAGAGCTCGTCTCTCATGCCTGACGTTCCCTCCCACAGACGAGCAGCTTGACCCCCTTGACATCCACAGTCCCCCCTCGTGGCTACCATTTAGAACCTTAGCCATCAAGCAACAGGGACCTCTCATGGATGTCCACCCCTCGCAGCCTCTAAACATGGGCCAAGGGAAACAACTAGCTTTCAGCTGCAGAAGCGAAACTTGATTCAGTCTAATGAGCACCCATCAAAACTGCAGGTTTTATATAGAAAAAGTTAGGTTTCCAAATAAGCCAGCAAAGTAGAGCCTGAGTTTGCAGCCTGGGGAAGCCTGATCACCACGTTCTCAGAAGACTGCCAGCAGGGGTAAGTCTGAAGCCACACAGCAGTGGGCAGGTGGGGATTTGTCCTTTGCCAACGCAGACGGGGGCTTTCTTAGCGGAAAACCCTGCTCCATCCTGGGAGACGTTTCTGAGAGCAAAGACCAGTCCTGCTGTTCTGAGCGGGCTTTGGAGCCCCTCGTCTCATTTCCCCAACTCCAGCCATCACTTGGTACATATGGCTGTCCTTCTGGAGCACCCCTACTATGGCTTGCAGCCCGCTGCCCGGCACCCCCAGACCCAGGTGCACAAATGCCTGGTCGCGGGCACACCACCAACTTCACTTCCGGTCATTGGTGATGTATGTTACAGGAAAAGAAATCTTAAGAGAGTACTGCTGTTGTTGTCAAGACTTTCCTCAATGCGTGCATTTGAGCTTTGCGTAGATGTGAAAAGACGAGTCTTGGATCAGCGGGACCCGTTTTAACGACTCGGTGGTGGGATGGAGAAGTGCTCTCTGCTTCTCTGTTTATGGACGCAGAGTTGTGGCTGGACTCCGCCATCTTTTCCTCCTCCTAGCCCTTCTTGGTTCTTTCTCCTCTCTCCCCCCTCCTCCCCAGGGTTCCCTCTCTCCGGCCACATTGCCTTGTAGCCGAGAGCATTTGGATAGTGTCTTGCCCACGGTTTCTACTGGATGAACAAGCCCACAGTGGCCGGGCCCTTCCAGCTCTTCTGCTGCTCCTTTATGCCGTACTTCAGCCGCCACACCCATTGGTTTTTCACCGAGAGCTTGCCCTTCGGCCTGTGGTGGGGGCCGTGAGGCAATTGAGAAGCATATCTCGTGTGCAAAGAGTTTGGGAGGCCCTCACCATCCCATTTCGGGATGCCTGGCAGGCATTCCTGCATCTGGTGCCCCCTTCCTTCTCCCCCCACCCCCCGTCCTTCCTTCCCAGGCCTGAGGTCCCAGGAGCCCGGGGAGGAGGGGGGTGCAGTCAAGGACGCTGGGAAGAGGCCCTTCGAATTTCTGATACTCTGAAGTCTGGGAGACAGCAGACTCATCCACCGCCAACTTTTCTCGCACACTCTGTAATAGCATTTCCAACCCAGGGCACCTGCAGTTGGCCTTTCTGATTCTGACCATGTCTGCACTCCACCTGCACGATGGGAGCTCTACTAGTTTTCTTTAAACCAACTCACTTTTTAGACGTCTAACCACGGGAGGCCAGTATCATTTGCATATAAACAGCAGATAATTATAAAATAAATGTGATTGCTTTACCAAAATACTGCTTGCTGCCTTAAAAAAAAGGATTTGAGCTTGAATCCCGCTCTCTTTGTTAAGAAGAGATGTAGCAGGAGTTCAAGAGGGTGTGAGAGACATATTGGCACCAAACGAGTCTTTCTTCTTGGGGGACATAAAGGACAGTTGAAGCGGGAAAGGCTTTCTCATGGTGCCGCCAAAAATCATGTCCCATATATCTCTGTCCACGTGTTTCGGGAGCAATGATTTCGGATCCCAGATCTGCCCCCTTCCTGGCTGAGTGGCCTTGGGCAAGTGACTGTACCTCTCTGAGCCTTAGTTTTCACTCTGTGCCCTGAGGATAATAATGCCTCCCCTTATTCTGGATGCAGCCCTGACCCCCTTCTTTCACTGGGACCCCTCTGCTCCTCAGCATCTCCGGGGCATGATTTCCTGGTTGAGACTTCAGTGTCCCTGAGTTACCAGCATCTACCTAGCTCAGGTTCTCAGGTGAGGCTTTGAAACCTAAGAGAGTACGGCTCCTGGAGGAGAGCTCGGGAAGGGGCGAGCTCCCAGCCCTCTTAGGCAGTGATAGAGGAACACAGCAGTTAGGTGTGGGGAGGCCGTCAGTCCTTGGCAGGAGCAAAGCCCGCGCTGACTCTGCAGTTAGCATCTGATTTCGCTGAGTCGGGAAAAGGCTGACAGGTCTCTATGCTTCTGGCTTTTAAGCCACTGGGCACATTGGGAGCGTGAGCCCAGGACAGGTGTAGACAAGAGGAGCACAGTTTGATCTGTTTTCAAGGGCCAGCTTGCCGATCTGTTGCTAAACCAAACCCGAGCAGAATTCAAATGACCCACGGGGCCATGCGGTTCCCTGGGGATTTTCCGTTACGTCCGGGTGCTGTGTAGGAATTCTCCAGTGTCTCCTTGGCTTTCTTTCTTCAGACCTGTGGGCACAGTGATTTCCAGCCTTTATAGACACAGGCTCCTTGAAACAGCGGACGCCCCTTGTTTTGATCAAGAGAAAATAAGACTGAGAGATCCCTCTGCCTCAAATAAGGACGGGGTCTCCCTGTAAATTGTTTCTCATTAGGGGCTGGAGCATCGCTCCCTTTGGCATTGCTGAAACAGTTCAAAGGGAAAATTAAGGGACTTGGGGGCCATTGAGAGGTTATGACAGGATGTGGGTGACGGGCCGGAGGCTGAGTTTGGGCCTCTACTCGGCAGCATCCACTTGCAGGACTTAACCCCAGGACCCTGAGTTCATGGACCTGAGCCAAAATCAAGAGTCAGACACTTAACTGACTAACCCAGACGCCCCTCTACTTTTCTCTAAAAAAGCTGTCAAGTCACCTTTATCGCTCTCTCCGGAAGGTGTATGCAAGCTGCCTTCTGTAGTCTGTGTGTTTTCAAGATAATGGAGTCGCTCCTGGGGGTTGTTTATGGATGTTCTCAGTTGAGCATTTAAAGCTAAAAGAGTTTGATCAAAATAAGCTAGGTCGGGCAGAGGGAGCAAATCCAGGTCTTATTTTGCCTCCACCATAGAGGGTGACAGACCTGGGTTCAAATCCCAGTCGGCTGTGCAGACGTAGGCAAGTGACTATACCCCTCTGAGCCTCAGTTTTCACTTCTGTGAACTGGGGATAATAAAGCTCCCCTTCAAAAGGGAGCTGGGCATCGAATATTTTTGCCCACCCAGCATCCTTCCCCCGTTCCAGTACCAGCACCTTCTCCCATGTTCTGGGGAGCTGTATCTCCTACGTTACAACAACCATGGTCTCCTAGGGAGACTGCTGATATGCCCCTCCCCCCCAGGGGGCACCCGACTCTGTCCTGACCAGTCGGATTCCTTCCCTGGGAAAAGAGCCATTCACACTTTCTTTCCGCAGCGGCCAAGCTAGGAGGAGGCCAGCCCGGAACTGCCTGTGACCATGTCTCCTGCAGGTAGTGGAGCAGGTGTGGCTGGATCCAGGTGTTCGGACGAGGTCCTTAGAGCTCCACCTGGGTCCATGTCATCATTCCGCTCTCCTGCATGCTAATGTACACCGATTCCATGCCCATCTCTGAACCAGTCTCTCCCACCAGGCTTTATTGGCTAGAAGGGCTCATTTATCCGTAACGGGGGATAGTCAGAGAGTTCCTGGGGGTCATCTCCCAAGGAAAGATTAAGGTGCTGTTCCCAAGGAAGGGCGGAGGGTCATGATAGGCAAAAGCCAAGACTGACTCCAGCATCCCGGGCCGAGAGAGCGTGTGCAAGGGCTGGAAGTGTGAAGAGGCCTCCCGTGAGCCCAGAATTCAGTGTGGCAGAGGGAGGGGCACAGGGGGCTGAAGAGAGAGCTTGGAATGGGATCCAGAAGGGCCTCTTGTGCCCCGGGTAACAGGGAGGGCTCCACATCAGTGGGGCTGTTTACACTGGGGGGAGGATGAGACAGGTCCCCCCATCCCCACCCCAACACGGACACGCTTTTGTACAAACTATTCTTGTCCGTTTGGGGACTCACTAAATACTTGATTGGGAAAGAAAGAATTCTCAAATTTCTCCAAGAAAAGAGGAGTTCTAAAGAAGGAGGGGCGCGAAAGGGAATATGCACGCACCTGTTGAAAGATGCAGTATTGGAGGCACAGCTTGGACTCAGAAGCCCTGGGTACGCTTTTATTTCTTTAAGTGAACTCTACATCCAACGGGGGGGCTTAAACTCAACAACCCTGAGATCACGAGTTGCGTGTTGCACTGACTAAGTCAGCCGGGCACCCCCCCGGGGCATTCTTCCTGAATAGATGTAGTTCTCCTCCTGAGGAGTCCTGTGAAGTATGATTATAATCATAATAAGCTGAAGTTTATTGAATACAATGGGCCTTAACATGTTGCTAAGCGCTTTATTTACACAGAGCATCTCAAGTTAATTCTCATAACAACCCTATGAGGTGGGCATTATTTTACACACGCACACCCCTCCCCCCCGCCTCCCCCTCCCATTTCACGGAATGCGCAGTGGTCCAGAGAGGTGAAGTGATTTGCCTGAGGTCACACAGCACAGAGGCAGCAGAGGTGAGGTTTGAATGTGGACTTGTAGTGATTTCATACCACTCTGAAGTGGGCCCTTTTTGCTCCTCCTGGGAAATTTTTATTTGCTCCTTTCTGGCATGAGGATGATTTGCTCGGTGTCACCGGAGAAGAGGATGATCCTCCCCTGGACCTTGGTCATGCGGGGCCACCCAATCACAGGCAGGAAGCTGGCTGGGACTGCATTGAGGATGGCAGTCCCTGTTGGCACTGCCCACCGTGGTACAGAGAGGAGGCTCCGCAGGCTTGCTTGGCGAATGGGGAGGTCAGGCTGATGGGGAAAACCAGCAGGCCCATAATGGTGGCAGTGGCTGGAGACAGCAGGAAGGAACACCAGTGTGTCAGTCAAGGGTCTCTGGGCTAACCTCATTCCAGGACTCACTGATCCACCCTCCTATCGACCCACCGATTCATTGATCCATTCACTTATATGTTGATTTATTATCTCTCCATTTATTCCATCACTCAACTAGTCTTCCACCCAGCTATCCGTCTACTCACCCATTCTTTCAACCATATTCTAACCCTCTCATCTCTTCATCCCCCTCTCCACCTATTCATTCACTTATCCATCTACCTGTCTGCCCACTTAGCCACATGCACCCCACCCATCCATTCACCCACCACCCGCCCAACCCCCCACCCATCCACCTCCTCAACCAACCATCCATCCACCCACCCACCCATCCATCCATCCGCCCAACCATCTGTCATCCACTAATATATCCATAGATCCATCCATCAGTTCACCTACTTACCTACCCACCCATTCGTTCATTCATGCATGCATTCGTTCATTCATTCATTCACCAACCCACCAATCTGTACATGCATTCATTCATCAAAACTGTTACAGGTGCTGCGGTGGGCGCTAACGACAGTAAGGAAATACACTTTACACCTCCTCACCTTCAGGGCACACTCACTGCACGAGAATCACATGAGCCTAGCTCCTCTTGCTGCTCTTCAGCCACATCGGTCTGCTGACAGTTCTGCGAACATGGCTCGCTCACGTGTCTCTACCCTTTTGCCCCCCCGCCCCGTGTTCCCATTACCTGAAGCTCCCTGCTCTATTGAACCGATTCCCAGCTGTGCTTCCAGACTCAGCTCAAGTGATACCTCCTTCAGGAAGCCTTCTTTAACATCCTCCACCCTCCTGGAGTTTTTCCTTTGCATCTTATGCTCATCCTTATCTTATCAAATATCCATTGAGTTGTAACTGCCTGATGTCCCCCCCCCCTGCCCCCAGACACTGCACAAGCCTAGGACAAGGACTATAGCTCCAGCCATTGATTCAACAGATATTCAGTGAACATCTAAGATGTGCGAAGGCACCGTGCCAGGAGCTGGTGATGTCAAGACAGACATGGCCTTGCCCTCAAGGAGCTGATGTTGTAGTGGAGAGAGATGAACAGTAATCAAGCAGGCAGATGAGGTAAGTAAGTGCTGTGAAAAATACAGAGCAAGGTAAGAGGTAGGAGAATCTCAGGAGAGGGGGGAGCTCCCTTACCTAGAGGCCATCGAAGATCTCACTGAGGCAGTGATACTTGAGCAACGTAGAGGAGCAAGACATGTAAGATCTGAGAAAAGAGAATCCCAGGCTAAGGGGACAAGCGTGGCGTATCATGGAACAGAAAGCAAACCATGTGGCTGGAGCAGGTTGAGCCTGGCAGAAGGGGTAAGAGGTGAGGTTGGCAAGGGAACGAGGGTTTCATCAGGCAGAGCCTCATCGGCCATGACCAGGAGTGTGGATTTTACCCTGAGTGTAACAGGAAGTCACTAGAGGCTAGATAAACCAGTTTGAGTGGCCCGATCTGATTTCAGTTTTAACAGGACCTGTTTGGCCAGCGTGGCAGACAGACTCTAAGGGGCAAAGGGTGACAGCAGAGAGACGTGTGAAGTGGTTGTCACTCTAATCCAGGTGAGAGGTGGTGGGGGATTAATTGCATGAGGGTTGCAATCAAGCCCTGGGCTACACCATCCAGAGCCTAGATGGGAGTTAGAGAAAAGCAACCCTCCTGGGGAGGTGCAGCCCTGCCATTCCACAGCTTAGCAAGTGGAGCATAGGCTAGATTTCAGCATCTCTCAGCCCTCGGCTGAGCTCCCTTGTGCAGTGCACAACCTGCTCAACTGTGTATGGTGGTCCTGGTAAAGATGATACAAAGTGGATGGATGAGAGAGAAATAAAGGGGGACAGACTATTAGGACTGGGTTTAGCTAAGGACAGGATTAAGTATTAAGGGTTAAGTATGCCATTCCCTCCCCACCATTTCTAGCTTGCTAAAAGGACCAGAAAGTCTTCAATCCTAGGGTTTATCTCTGAGATGCAACATGGGAGGCCAGACTCTGCTCACAGGTTCATTCATTCGTTCATTCGTTCATTCATTCATTCTACAAACATGTCTGGAATGCTTACTATGTGACAGTGGGTTTACCTGCCGCTGCCTGCACCCGTGGCATTGGGCCACTGGCCCTTCTGGGACGCAGCCCTTGGGGGCCCAGGGCCCAAGAGAGGAGGAGAACTGCATTAAAGGCCAACAAGAGCCATCCTCCAAAGAGAATTGCAGCCGAGACCTGTCAGGAAGAAAGAGGAGGGAGGGTGTTGAATGGGGCAGATAGGGGCAGGTGTATGTCTGTTTATTGGCCAGCTACTGAGTCCTCAAAACCCAAGAGATCTGTGCTATTATTATCCCCAGTTTGCATATACACAAACTGAGGCCCAAGGAGGTGGAGTCATTTGCCTCAGGACACACAGCTAATTAAGTGGTAAAGCCAGAATTAAGATCCAGATTTACAGCCACCATACCCCGCCTTTACTGAGTACCTGCTATACGGCAGGATCACCAGGAGAGGCACCTTTTTTAATTACCGGTTGCCGAGGCTGTATAATCTTCCTTAGAAGTCTTGGACTGGGAGTCCTGACCCCTTGTCCACATTGTCGAATTTGGTAATGTGCATCATAACAGAGACTTTCAACACCGTAGCCGTGGTTTGCCGACTTAGCAGCCCTCAGAGGGTGGCCAGGTAGGTGTGTGCAGGTGGTACACGGCACAACCCTTGGAGATGCCTTGGGATCATCATAGATTTGCATATTCATTACATTTCTTTTCCAGCAGATGGCAGTATAGCATCCTGAAGAAGGGGACCCTTTTCTTAATGTGTACTAAGTGCTGTGTGGACTTGCGGCTGCCTTCAGACTCATCCTGGGTGTTTGCTAAAATGCAGATCGCCAGACTTCCACCGCACACCTACAGACTCAGAGGCTCAGTGTGGGGTAGGCGGTGGGGGCCAGACCTTGGCTTCCCCGCCACCCCCTGCACCCCCCACCCCTCTGGTGGATGTGATAGAGCCCCCGAGGTCCCAGCCCAGGTCTTACCTTCCAGGCAAAGTCAGGAATATCATCCAGGGACCCGAAGGTCCCACAGCTCTGGTTCCAGCTGTCATCCCCAGGCCGGGAGCAGTAGGTGAGGATGCCAAAGGAGAAGGGGTGGGACTGGAACCAGGCGGGAGAGATGAGGCTAAGGGGCTGAGATGCAGACCAGCGAGAGTCCCAGGGCTGCCCACACGCTGCCCGCCATCAGGGAGCATCGATGACCTAGCAGTCAACAGGCGCGATGAGGGGTGGAGGCTGCCGGGAAGGAGAGAGACGGGAGCTGGGGAAGGAGCCCCCAGTTAGGGACCTGGTCCTGTGTTCAGACGCCAGGTCCCCAGCCTCCTTTCTGCCTGCGGATGCAATGGGGAGGTGTTAGTATCTGGGGAGGGGGTGGGGCTTTGCCCTAACAAGTTCTGGAAGGAGAATAACCCCAAATCTTAGACTAAAGATTAGTGCTCAAACAGAACTTTGAACACTCCGGCTCTGCATGGGACATAGTCATCACCAGTCCAGGCAGGGCCCCTCCCCTGTTTCCTTCCTTCCTTCATTCACTCATTCACTCATTCTTCAGCCCCTCAAGGCTTGCACCGTCCGAAAGGGCTGCATCTCCCCAGAGGGGGTACCTTTTTCTAAATCACACACAGATGCTGTGTTTCCCGCAGCCACAGTGCCCGGTAGCTCACTCCTCCCAATCACTGACCCCTGTAATTATTTAATTGTATCTTTTTGTTTGGAGGTGTTTTTGCGAAATGGGTATTGTTCCGGATGTTGTGTGTTTTTTTTTAAGATTTCATTTATTTATCTGAGAGAGAGAGATAGTGAGCATGAGCAAGAAGGAGAGGGAGAAGCAGGCTCCCCGCCGAGCAAGGAGCCCGACGTGGGACTCAATCCCAGGACCCTGGGATCACGACCCGAGCCGAAGGCAGACGCCCAACCGACTGAGCCACCCAGGCGCCCCAGTGTGTATTTTTAATTTATGTAATTGACATTATTCTGTATGTTGCATTTTGCTTCCTACTTTGGGCACCAAGCATAATGCTTTTAGGGTCGATCCACGTTGCTGTGTGTATGCCTATTCCATTTAACTTTGAGTTTCCCAGAAGCTGATCCTGAGACGAGGGTTTGGGTGCAGGCAGTTTACCTGGGAGGTGGTCCCGTGGAGGAAGAAGTGGGATGGGGGGAGAAGGCAGCCGGTTAAGAGCGTGTTGCAAAGCCAGCTGTCCCCAGGGTGGCTCTGAGAGACAGGGTACACCCGGCACCTCCGAGTTATCCCTCCCGAGAGCAGAGGGAGGTGTGGACTGCACATACCAATCTCTGCCAGCCATTGGTTGAGGGCTGCCCCCAGCACTGGGTAGCAGCTCTGTGTGCAGGGGAGGGGGGTGGGGTTGGTGGGCAAATGGGCTCCAACAGGAACCAACAATAGAGCAGCAATAAAATGTGCAGCGGGCAGTTGAAAGGCCACTGCTGTGCGGAGACTCAATGACATTGAGGGGTACGGAGCTGACCAGCTGACTGTGACCGGATCTGCCACCTGATGCGTGCTATTCCCTCGGCGTTTCGCCAACTCCAGCCCTCTGCCATAAGCATCCGTGTGCCCGGACTTGAGCCAGAATTTGGGGGGGGCGCGTACACTTGGGAACACACTTGCTGTCTCAGATGGTACAGCTCTGTTTCCTCTGAGCGAGAAAGCCCGACTCCTCCCCGGGGATGGCTGCACCATTCCACGGTGTCCCCGCTCTGTGCTGAAGGCGCCTGCAGGCTCACGAGCCCATTCATCTCAGTCTCCTCCTGCTTTACAGGTGGGAAAGTAGAGGCCCAGAGAGAGTAACAGACTCCCCCGGACTGACCCAGGAGGCCAGTGTGGGTGGGTGGGTGGGTTGGGTGGGGGGTTGCCGTCCACACACTGTCATATGCCAGGCAATTCATACACATCCTCCAGCTCATGTGCTTCGTGACTCCCCGGCCACAAGCCTGGAGGACCGGAGTGAGCTGGTCTTTGTTGACTGGAGAAGAGCCCCCCTCCAGACTCGTGCGTCTGCCGGGCTGCAGGTGGGTGCTCTGACCTCGTGTTTGACAAGGGAGGATACCGAGGCTCAGAGAGGAGTAGGCGACTCAGCCCAAGGACACACTTAGAAGGGGCTAAGGGGCCAGGGGTTCGTAGCCAGACCTGATGAGTCGGCAGCTGTCCTTCTTGAGAGCCCCAGGGTAAGGGTTCTAATAGTTACCGAGCATCATCTACCTGCTGCGGGCCAGGCCCTGGTCTAAGTGGCTCCTTGGAGAAGTGAGGGGACATGCCCGGGATCTCACAGCTAAGATGTGGGACAGCAGTACTTGGACCTGGATCTGTCTAATTCCTGAACCAGGATTAAGGTCCATACTTAACCATGCTCCTTCCCATCTCCTTGCTCGGCCTCATTCAGCCCCAACCTCTACTCTTTCCGCTGTCTTCCTCGCCCCAGCTTTTACCTTTCTTCTGAGGCAGGCCGTGTAGCTGTCCCTCTCTGCTCAGGGGTCGTTGCTTCCCCCCCCGCCCATGAGGCCAAGAAAGCCTCTCTGGCCTGGGGATGGCATCACCCAAGAGAATTTCCTTTCTCTTACCCTGAGACTGCCCCCGCGCCTCTCTGAAAGTCCCAGCTACAAACCAATGTTCCAACCATTTACAGCCCAAGTAAATGCTTTCGTCTGGGGGAGGCATACAGGCTGTGAGGCCCCAGAGGTTCAATTTCTGGCTCTCATATGTATTGGCTGTGTGTCCTTGGGCCGGGCACTTACCCTCTCTGAGCCTCCCATCCTTCATCTGTAAAACAAGCCTGATACTAGTACCTATCTCAGGGGTTGTGGGGAGGATTAAGTGAGAAGACGTCTAGAAGGTACTTTGTGGAGTGCCCTGTACCCAGGAGGTCCTCCGTACATGGTCGTGATGATGATGATGGTGGTGATCCGGGTGGTGGCTGTGGGATTATTTGCAGTAGTAGTAGTAGTATTCATAGCTATTGTCTTGTTGCTCATACCGGTTGGGATTAGCAGACACTTCAAAGAGATAAAAACCAAAAATGGAGACCCAGATTGCTCGAGATCCCCTGGCAAATCAGGGGGTAAACGGATCAAAGCCAAGACTCCAGCCCCCAGACTGATAAGCAGAAACACCTTCTCCTTCCCTGACGACACCCCGCCAACTCCTGGTCCCCAGTGTCTGTCCCCTTGGCTTGCTCTCAGAGAGGGAAGGGGGCAGGTGGGTAGGGAAGAAAGGGGAGGAAGGGAAGGGTGCCAGTGATGCGGGAGAGCTGAAAGTTACCCAAGAGGGCAGGGGTGAGGTTGGGGGTTTGCAAACTGCTGCAAAGGGAAGGCAAGACCCTGCTTCAACCACTGACCAGCAAACACCCACTACTCTGCCCTTGGTGACCCCTAGATCCCTCCTGGGAGGATTGGGCATGACACCCTTCCCTCCACCCCTCTGAGCCCCTCCGATACACTCATTGACAAACACAGCCCAGCACGGCAAGGGCCTCCAGAGAATAACTGTGCTTCGGTCCTTGGAGAATATCCAGGGTATCACTTAAATGTCCCTAAATCATAAAGTGCCGAAGTTACGGAGTTTCCGATTTCCCTTCATTACTTCTCTTTACATCAAGAAGAACGTCCCCGTTGGAGCTAATCAGTCTTTTTTTTTTTTTTTAAGATTTTTATTTATTTATTTGACAGAGAGAGAGAGAGCACAAGTAGAGCGGAAAGCAGAGGGAGAGGGAGAAGCAGGCTCCCCAGCTAATCAGGGAGCCCGATGTGGGGCTCGATCCCAGGATCCCGAAATCATGACCTGAGCTGAAGGCGGATGCTCAACCGGCTGAGCCAGCCAGGCGCCCTGGAGCTAATCAGTCTTTTTTTTTTTTTTTTAAGATTTTATTTATTTATTTGAGAGAGAGAATGAGATAGAGAGCATGAGGGGGGGAGGGTCAGAGGGAGAAGCAGAGTCCCCGCTCAGCAGGGAGCCCGATGCGGGACTCGATCCCGGGACTCCAGGATCATGACCTGAGCCGAAGGCAGTCGTTCAACCAACTGAGCCACCCAGGTGCCCTGGAGCTAATCAGTCTTAAACACCTTTCAAACATCTGTCAACCTCCCCCATTTATTTATTTATTTAGATTTTATTTTATTGAGAGAGAGAGCGTGTGCACATGAGCAGGGGGAAGGACAGAGGCAGAGGGAGAGAGAGAATCCCAAGCAGACTCCACCCTGAGTGTGGAGCCCGGCGTAGCGCTCCATCTCACGACCCTGAGATCATGACCTGAGCCGAAACCAAGAGTCGGATGCTCAACCGACTGAGCCCCCAACGCACCCGCAACCTCCCGCATTTAAAAATGATGGGGAGCCTTGAACAGGCAACAAAGTCGAGTGAGAATTCAGGAATGTGGTTGCGGTTTCCTTACATTTATTGTGGTGGTTTTGTTCTATGTTTTGCTGTGATGCTGGTTGTCCATTTAGAATTGAAATGTATTTTAATGAAAAACTGAGTTAACTTAAAGCCCAGTCGTATCTAAATAATAATAGAGGCGGCTGGACGAGGAGGCCGCGGGAGAAGGTGGTTTGCTGATAGCCAGCACTGCTATTGATGACCGGAGGTGAAGTCCAGTAGGGCTGAGCCAGCTCAAGGGCACGCAGGGTCAAAAGCAGCTGAGCTGCCAACCAAGCCAAGGGCACCCACACGGACTCCCCAGGGCCGGTGCTTTTCAACCTTGGGCTTCACTTTGGGACTCCAAGCCTGGCTAGCACTTCAAACGTGGCAGGAGTCCTAGGTTTGGAGGCTAGCCAATTACTCTACCACTTCCCAGCTGTGTGACCTGGGACAAGGCACTCCATTGCTCTGGGCCTTAGTTTCTCTATCTGTAAAAGCAGACTGGACATCCCAGGGGGTAGGGGGCATTGGGTTTATCACTGAGCAGGGTGATGTTGTAGAAAGAAGCAGCCAGACCACATCTTCCCTTCCCAACACTATGATCTTGGGGAGGCCACCTCACCTCGCTGGATAAGGGGCTGGGGGTTATTGGGAAGGTTCAAGGGGGATAGAATGCATGTGTCAGGGGGAGGGGGAGAGAAGCCTGGGCAGGGAAGTCAGGGTTACAGTGCAGAGATGTTTTATTCCCAGGATTAGAAAAACCTGGTGGCTGCTAGCCAGCAGGTGAGATACAGCCCCTTGAGTGAGTGAGGTTGGATTTTTTTATTCCTACACCAAAATTGGCCTCTCCTGGGGGTTTGGCAGGATCCCGAGGGGTGTAATTCCAGCCAGGAAGCCGGGGAGCCCAGAGCTGACTGAGGCCTGTGATTTTGCCTCTCTCTGGCTGCCCCTGTGACTCTCCAGGCGTTTCTGACCTTGAAAGGGGTTTTGTTCTCCAGATAATGTGCTCAATGTCACCTGGGAAAAATCATGCCGACCATCCAGGTGCCCAGAAACCTAAATGAGGCATTATAACCTGAAACCACATCCGGGCAGGCTCCAATTAGCTGGAATCCACCTGCGGGAAGCTTGAAAGGGACTGAACCTTTTCTCCTCCTCCATCTCAGCATTTAACTGTTGATGGCAGTCGGGGATTCTGGAGCACTCGCCAAGCCCCATTGGAAACACCTTGCTTCATGTAAGCCTCCTGGCCACTCCATGGCAGGTGGTCTTATCAGAGTTCCCATTTTTATTTTAAAGATTTTTTTTAAATTTATTTGAGAGTGAGCGAGCAAGAGAGAGAGAGCGAGCTAACATGGGCGGGGAGTTGGGGCAGAGGCAGAGGCAGAGGGAGAAGCAGACTCCCCGCTGAGCAGGGAGCCCAGTGAGCCCTAAACTAAACTTTTAATATCGCTTTGGGCTCAGGGCACAGAGTCGGAAGCCCAACGGCTTGACTTTGAGTACCTGCTTTACCCTTGCTTCCTCGTTTACCACTTACTTCCTGAGCCTTCCTTTCGTCTTCTGTACAGATGGGAACTCTGGGGCGCCTGGGGTGGCTCAGTCATTAAGCATCTGCCTTCGGCTCAGGTCATGATCCTGGAGTCCTGGGATCGAGCCCCGCATTGGGCTCCCTGCTCAGCAGGGAGTCTGCTTCTCCCTCTGCCTCTGTTCCAACCCCTGAGCTCATGCTCTCTCTCTCAAATAAATAAATCTTTTTTAAAAAAATAAAAAGTTAGTTTAAAAGTCAGATAGATACGTATGCAGCAGCTTCCTGGGCGGTCCACGGTTAGGGCTTGGTCCGCCCTCCCACCTGATCTGGCCAGGGAGCATGCATGGTCCCAGAGGAGACAAAGTCAGCACCGCAGGCGAGCAATGGGGCTTGGGAGGCTAGAGGTGGCTGCCAGCGCTTGGGTATGTCCCTACGGCCAAGTCCCTTTCTTTTTCCTGGCTTCCATGTCCTTATCTGTTAACCAAAGGGGTGGATTGTTCATTCATTCAACTTTTATGTGCCCAGCCCGATGTGACCTTCATGGATATAGCAGTGAACAGAACATGGTCTGTGCCCTCTAGGAGCTTAGGGTTTTGTGGGCAAGACAGACAAACAGGATAGAACAATATGGTCCATCCATCCATCCATCCATCCGTCCATCCAACAAATATTTATTGAGTATCTGTTACGTTCCAGGAAGTGTTCTAGGTGTTGCAGATTTAATAGTGAGGAAAACAGACAAAACTGCTGTCCTCACAGAGCTTATACTCTAGAAGGAGAGCAAGACAGTAAGGGTATAAACAAGTCAGCATATAAGATACCAGATATTAATAAATGCCATAGAGAAAAATGAAGCAGGGAAGGGAGAGGCTGAGTGATCAGAGAGGTCACGGAAAGCCACGAGAAGGTGACTTTTGGGCAGGAGCTGAAGGAGGAAGCCATGTGGATTTGTGGGGGAAGAATATTCCAGGCAGCAGGAGGTGCAGGTGCAAAGGCCCTGTGGTGAGCATGTGCTTGGCAAGTTTCAGGAAGAAAAGAAGCTGGGGGAAGGCAGGGGGCTTGGAGGGCCTTGTCGGCAATGAAGATCTTTGGCTTTTAATATCTGAGTGAGATGCAGAATCTGCAGATAGGCCTGAGCAGGAGTGTGGCAACCTGTCTTGTGTTTTCAAAAGATTACTCAGGGAGCACCTGGGTGGCTCAGTCAGTTAAGCGTCCAACTCTTGATTTCAGCTCAGGTCATGAGATGGGGCTCTGCGTCTGGCTCCACGCTGAGTGTGGAGCCTGCTTGAGATTCTCTCTCCTGCACCCTCTGCCCTCCCCATTCCCTCTCTCCCTCTCTAAAAAATATAAATTAAATTAATTAAATAAAATAAAAATAAAAATAAAAAGTTCACTCTGGCTGCTGGGTGGAGAGCCAGGCAGAAGGAAGAAGTAGTCAGCAACTTTAGTCCATCAGGTGAGAGACAATGGTGGACCAGAGAGGTGGGCAGAGAGGGAGGGAAGGGGAAAGGGGCGGAGTCTGGATCTATGTTAAAGGGCAAAGGTCAAGCCAACGGGTTGTGCTTATGGATTAGGCAGAGTGTGAGGATGTCTCCAGGGCTTTTTCCCTTTGTACCTGGGATGGGGGAGCTGCCATTGTTGATTTAAGGAAGCTCGGGGAGGAAGAGGTATCTGAACATGACGTAGCCTAAGTCAAGTTTCGGACATACATTTTGCCAACCCATCAACCAACAGGCGCAGCTTCAGGCCAAGAGAAAGCGCAGGGCGATGCTAGGCACAAGGATATAGGAGGGGCATCTGACACAGCCTGGGGCCAGAGGGGCAGGGGCTGTCCAGGCTGAGGTCTGCTGGGCCAGCTGGGACTGGGGAGGACCTTGACCTGCACACCTTTTTCTTTCTCTGAGCTACACAGCTAGCTAAGCCAGATTTCTGCTTCTAGTCTAGGCTCTGTTACAAGCTGGCTGTGTGAGCTAGTGAACTTACGCCAAGTAATGCCTCTGAGCCTTGGTTTCCCATTGCAATGGGCTGAATGTGTGGGTGCCCCCTAAATTCATATGCTGAAATCCTAACCCCCAAGGGCATGGTATTAGG